AATTGTGTTTCATCACCGCATTACGGTCTTTCTCTGATGCCGACACCGCTGCAAGCCGCCTAACATTCCAGTGCTGGCCAAACATTTGAGGCGCTGTACTGTCTTGAGGCACCAGGGACCATTTCGGTACGACTCGACGCCTGGCCTAAGCCAGACTGACAGTCGCACTGCCTCAAGCCTCACAAATCTTCGACAAACCCCGGCCAGCCACGCTTGGAGTGGGTCGGAAGAGCCGTGCCCGAATGGCGCCGGGTTGCCTGCGACCATGCGGTGGCGGTGAAGTGACCGCACCCCCGTGGCCAGCAGCGGCGCCCCCTGCGCCCGTATCGTCAGCCAGTTTATTTGCGGCGCGTCGAGTCGCCGCCTGTCTGTGACGTCAGGAGGCTCGCGCCGCCCGGAAGCGGGATGCGGCGTCGGTCGGCCGGGCCCGGCGCACCCACTGGTCGGCTGGGGCCTGGCGCACCCACTGGTCGGCTGGGGTCTGGCGCACCCACTGGTCAGCCGGGGCCCGGTGCACCCACTAGTTGTCTGGGGCCAGCCGGACACACCTAGCGGCTGGCTGGGTCAGGGGTGCCTGGGCCCGGCGGGTACACCTAGCGGCTTGCTGGGTCTGGGTGCCGGGACCTGGCGCACCCGCTGGCGAGCTGGTTCTCGACGGGTCCTCCTAGCGGCCGGCTGAGCTTTTGCTTCGCTGGCTGGAAGGCCCTGGTGCAGTTCATTTGCGTGCCATCGCAGATGACCTTCGCCTTTCTTCGATCCGCTCAGACTTGTTGAGCCTGGTCGGACGTTCGCTGGCCGTCCAGACTTGGTCTGGCCTTAGCCAGCCCGCCCGGACCTGGACGGACCTGGTCGGACATGCCCGGAGGTGGTGAAGCTGTGCTTAATTCCGGCCATCTGCCACACACTTGTGTTTTGCTCTACTTTTTGCAGTTCTTGAACAGACACAGCTGTCACGCCGCAAGAAAGGGCCTCCCGGATGTGCGCGGGAACGAATCCAGCCAAACCTTCACAGAGACTGGGCAAAGATGCAAGCAGTCCCTGGGCGTCACAGCCTTGTTTTGTTGCATTTGTGATGTGATAGTCGGCCCTACGTCGTTGAATTCGGGTTGGGGAGGAAAATAATCAGTTGGTGAAAACGCTTCTTTCCAAAACCCCTCATCTTCATGAATTCGGGCCGGTGAGGAAAATAATCAGTGGGTGAAAACGTTTCTTTCCAAAACCCCCCACCGACATAAATTCGGGCCGGTGAGGAAAATAATCCATGGGTAAAAACGCTTCTCTCCAAAACCACTCACTTACATAACAGTTTTAACAAGATTAGCTTCGGCGCGGTTCCATTTACCCGTTGTCTGAAATCATCTGCGAACACAGTCTCCTGCGCTCGAATTTTCGATATCGCATTCTATTAACCTTGTACAACATACTATGGATACAAAAGTTACGCCTACAACTAACATTTATCGTTTCTGTGCCTGGGAACACGGCCAGGCTCAGAGTATGCAGCTGTCGTCGCCTTTGCTGGCGTCTATTCTGCGGGACTTGAACAAGCCAGGCCTGTGCGAATGCTGATTCGGTGATATGTCATGATATCCAAGGCCACCATACCACCCACACATTCCGCCGCACGGCTCGGTCGACATACAGCCCATTTATCGAGCTTTGAACAGATCGGTGGCTCTTGCAAACTTACATGGTCATTTCCACCTCTGCACGCGACAAGACGCACAGACGAAGTGCCAGTCACGCTGCTGGGGCTACGGAGAAAATAAACGGACATCGACGAGACCGAAAGCGTCAGAGGGCGGTGTGGGGCCTGGTATTGCGGCGCTCGAGGGGTGTATTGTCCGGGGCCGGTGCCGCACGATGGGACCTTATCGATCGCCGATCCCGAGCCAGCAGGGAGCCGGCTGCCGCGCCGCAAAACACGGCTCCACGGTTTGGCAGGTGTAGGCGCCGCTGCGCACTGCCGCCGTCGGGGCGGGCTCTTGGCCGGGGCGGAGCGCTGGACCGGCCCCGCCGCGACCTCTCGCCGATCCGCAGGCCCTCGCTCACAGAAAAGCTGGCTTGTCGCTGCGACCAGCGCGTTAACAGTGCTAGCTGCCGCCAGGGCTAGCTGGAATTTGGTAATGAGGTGCTGCATATGGCAGAGCTCAGGAGAGCGCCGGACCTGAGCTAATCGGGGACGTCCCTAGCTGGGCAGGCCTCTGCTGACTGAACTGACGGAGACGTCCCTGCCTGGGCAGGCCTCTGCTGACTGAGCCGACGGGGACGCCCCTGGCTGGACAGGCCTCTGCTGACTATGAGCTGACGAGACTGACCGTCGCCGTCTGCCTGTGTTTCAGATGCGGCGGCTGTGATGCCGCACCACGCCCACAAGATGGACCGGACGGGCCGGCCTCCGGCGCCGGCGCCGGCGCCGGCGCCGCCGGCTGCCAGCTCCGTGCCGTTCTTCCCCTTCCCGGGCGTTCCGCCACTCAGCTGGATGTTCCCGGCCTCCTCGTCGGCTGCCGCCGCCGCCCTCGGCTTCCCGCCCACCTCTTCCGCCGCCGGGTTCGGCTTCCCTGCGTCGTCGTCAGCGGCAGCTGCCGCCCTCTGCTTCCCGCCCTCGTCCGGCGCCGGGCTGGGGTTCCCGCCCACATCGTCGGCCGCGGCGGCGGCGGCTGCCGCCGTGGCCGCGCTGGGCTTTCCGCCGGCGGTGTCCGGCTCGGGCGGCTTCTCGCCGGCGGCGGCGGCGGCGCTGGCCACGGCGATGGCGGCCGGCTTCCCGCTGCCGCCGGGCGCTGCCCGCTTCCCTCGGATGCCGTTCGGCCCGGTGAGTGATGTCGCGGGGCTGCGGCCACGGCGCCGCCCGAATGAGGCGCTGCTGGCGGACGCCACCAGTGGAAGTGAGATGTGCCTCGTTTGGGGAAACAGGGGAGCAATAAAGGGGTCGAAAAACTGTTTTCAGTCGGTTAGACAAAATGACGATTTACATCGGATGATGTGCTTGAAAAAGTTGCATTGCAGTAAGTTGCACCCTCCTCAAGATATGGAAAATTTTACTTGATAGTCTCAATCCATACACGGGAGGAGCTGTCGTGACGCCGACAGATCATCTTTGTACGTAATTGAATCGCTTCAGGAAACAGCAATTCCGCGACGTTGAATGCCTTCAATCCCCTGCCATCTAGCGTCCGATTTCATAACTACTGCGGCCGGCCAACCAAGGCATGCGCTTACGCCATGCATGACGACGGAGGCGCATTTCAAAACTTAATGCTGCGGTAGAGTTAGCTCAAATTTTTACAGTTAAGATCTAAGAATTGCAAACGTGAATATAACAGAAGCACCAGGTATGATGAAATAAGCTCTCTTCCAACTATTGAAGTACTTCGAAGTGGAAAAGACTTCTCTTGACGTCATAATTTCTTTTTTCAGGAAATATGTTCCTCACTACGCCATTGTTTGATTGTGTGATGGTACCGTACCTTGCACAACAATGATTGAGAGCGAAATGACGGCCGTTAGATCTGGAAATGCTGCTCACGAATGCCAGATATGAGCGTCCCGACAATTATTTTTTTTCTTGGCCTTTAGCACTGCATAGCTAGTGGAATGATGGAGTTCGAATGACGTTATTAAGGCGTGATTAACCTCTGGGGGATTTTGAAATAGGCTTTACATCTTCGCGGGCGTATAGCTCAGAAACTAGGACAGGCTTAGGTCTTAAGAAGGCCAGGTGAACTCGAAATACTCTTCAAGATGGCTCTTTCAATTCAAACCCCTTACAATTGCGGAACACCCCTTCAATAAACGACTGAAAAAGGATAACCGTAAACGTGTGAACTAGCCATGAAACAAAACACTTTAGTAGCCTGGTATCGCGTTGCTTTCAGTGTGTCATGCCTGAATTAATGACACTAGAATATCTATCGTAGTTTTGCTATTTACAACGCCATCAACGGATGCTTTCACATTTACTTTCAGCTGTTTTTAACCATTTTTTAAAGCTGTCCGTTGCTCGATAGTGACATTTGGGGTGGTATATGAGGGTCATCGAGGTTCGACGTCACGTGAATAAAGTACTGGAGCTGATGCAAAAGTAGTTTTCAGAGATATTTTGAGGCTAAACCAACGGCGTCGTTATTCATAGGAACTGAGCGTAAAATCATTCACAGTGAAGGCCATGGGAGATCGTGAAATGACCGGTGACGGTACATTAGCCCATGGAAGTTCATGGTGACACGTACTGGGTTGCACTGACACTATTTTGCGCCCTTGTAAAAGGCTGCGATGGGATTTCAGAAATGTGACTTGGCGTGGTTTATTACGATCTGAAAGACAATCGATAACAAGTAACTTAAATTAACGGGATAATGAGTTTAGCTAACACGCGGGTCAACGGTCTCATTTGTAAGCGTTTGGTATGGCTCGAAATCGGCAGGAAATCCTACTCCCCGATGGTGCATAACTTGGTCAAACTGGATACGCCGCAGAGACCAAACATTGCTGGACGGGATACAGATAGATGGCTTTCATGTAGGCAAATATGGAAGCCATCTATGACATATCGTAGGGCTCAGTGAGCAAAGTGGCTTCGTGTTTTTTGGCAGTAGCCCATCCGTCCCCGTTAACCTCGCAGGGCCGCTGTTTGGCTCTGATTTGCTTCATCGTCTCTGTTTGCCCTGCGGCTGTACATTGTCTTTTGGCACTTCTGCTTGTTCCCGAGTTCAGCGACCCGCATCATGGCTGGCCTCGCCCATCCGGGGAGCCTGACGGTCCGCCTGTGTTTCAGACGTTCTTCCCGCGGCCGCCGCCGGCACACACACAGCAGCAGCAGCAGCTGGCGCCGGGCGCGCTCGGTCTGCGGCTGCCGGCGCACAGCCGGGGGCCGCGAATGCCGCTGCCATCTGGCGCCAGCGCCGGCCCACTCGACCCGGCCGGCGCCGGCACCGCCGCCGGCGCATCCGCCGCCGCCTCCGCCACCGGCGCCGCCGACCGCACCCGACCTGGAGGCCGAGATGCGCGAGATGGCCGAGCTCGAGGCCCTGGAGATGGCCTCGTTCGAAGCGGAGGCAGCCGAGGCGGAGGCGCGCACCACTGCCGACCAGGTGTCGCAGGTGATGGGCATCCAGCTCCCGAAGGAGCTGCAGATCACGGTGGTGACCAAAGCGCAGCAGAAGCGCAAGCGACCGCCGCCGCCACAGCTGCACCCGATCCGCCCCGCGGGCTCCCCGGCCGGCGCCGAGCCGCCGCCAGCGCCGCCGCCACTGCCGCCTCCGCCGCCGCCGACCGGCGCGACGGTGGAGGTGGCGCGTACGTGGCGGCCCGAGGTGCCGCCCGCCTCGACGCCGGTCGAGACACTCGCCAACCGGCAGCGCACGCCACTGGAGCCGGCGGCGGGGCCGAGCGGCGTCGAGCCGGCAGCGGCGCGCAGGGCGGCCAAGACCAGCCCGCCGCGCCGCTCCAGCTCTGAGCCCCGCCCCAGGGCGGCTGCCGACGAGGTCAGGGAGGTCAGGGAGTCTGCCGAAACTCGCCCGGTGAAGGACGGGAAGTCGGGGAAGGCGGCCAAGAAGGTGGCGCCGGACGAGGCGGTGAGAGTGCCAGTGTGGAGCGGCGAGGCTGCGCCGAAGCAGGCCAAGTCCCCGAGCCGGGCGTTAGTGAAGCCGGTCAAGACGGATTCGTCGCCGAAGCCCGCCAAGATGGGCAGTGACGCGCCGGCGAAAACAGGCGAAAGTCCGTCCCCCTCGACTTCGACTTCGACCCAGGCCCCGGCGCCGACTCCAACCGCAGTATCGGCGGCCGCACCAGCTGCAGCTCCGGCCCCGACTCCGGCTCTAGCTGTTGCCCCAACCCTGGGCCCATCCCCGGCTCCAAGCTTGGTCCCAGCCCCAACTCCGACACCGACTCCAGCTTCGAATGCGACCCCGACCCTGACCCCGACCGCGACCCTAGCTTTGACCCAGACCTCGACCCCGACTGCGACCTCGACCTCAACCCCGATCCCCGCCCCGACCCCGACCGTGACCCCTGCCCCGACCCGTGAGGGTGCGGAGGCGGCAGACCTGACCAAGCCTTCGTCGCACAAGTCCAAGGAAGGCGGCGGCTCAAAGTCCAGCTCTAAGCACAAGTCGGACAAGTCCAGCCGGCGGCGCACGTCCTCCGAGTCGTCGCGCTCCAACAGTCCAAGCGTGTTCAAGAAGAAGAAGGAGCGACAGCACAAGCGCGAGGAGGGCGCGTCGGCCGCCGTGGACTCGGCACGGCCTGGCGCGACCTCCTGCGGCGCGCTGGCCAGCCCCATGCCCAAGATTCCGCCTCTGCGGATCACCAAGAACAAGGACGACATGTACTCAGTGCAGTCCGGTGGCTCCGGATCGGTGGTCAAGGCTGCCGCGGAGCTGGCGCCGCCGCCGCCGCCTCCCCCGCCGCATCCGTCATTGCCGCCGCCGCCGCCTCCGCAGCAGCAGCAGCAGCCTTCGCCGCCGCCGGCCAAGCCGAAGAAGGGTGAGTCGTTCTACAGCTTCGAGGTCGACGAGTCGCTGCACATTCGGACGGGCGAGGACGGCCGGCCCAAGTTTGTGTGCGACATCTGTCAGACCACGTACCAGCGGCTGCACAGCCTGAAACGCCACTACTACCGCAACCACATCAACCACAAGTACGTGCACGAGAGCGACATGGCCAGCGCCGAGCTGACGGCGCTGCAGGACACCAGCGGCTTCCGCGAGGCCACGGAGCGGGCGGCAGGCTCGCGGCGCCCGTTCCTCTACTGCTGCTACCTCTGCCGCACGCTCTATGACTCGCTGGCGGCCGTGGTGGAGCACACGACCGCCACACATTCGGGCAAGGCGCGTGACGCGGCGCCGGGGAAACGCCTCGAGTGCGACAAGTGCGACGAGACGTTCGCCGGCCGGCGCGAGCTGGAGAAGCACCGCGAGGTGCACCAGTGCCACACGTTCGCCTGCAAGTTCTGCGACCAGGTGTTCCCGTGCGAGTCGGTCAAGAAGCGGCACGAGAAGATCCACAACCGGGAGGCGCGGCCGCCCGAGGCCGGCGCCCAGCAGACCATCGCCAAGATCAACATCGGCGGCGTGAAGATCAGCGTCGGCATCGGCAACCTGCAGCAGCTCAAGAAGTTCAAGGAGGCGTGCAAGGAGATGTCGGAGACTAGCAATGGTGCCATCAGCCTCGAGTCGGCAGACCTGGAGGCGCTGGAGCGGCTGGAGGAGCTCAGGCCGGCCGGCGAACGCTGCATGTACCCGTGCAATGTGTGCGAGAAGAGCTTCCCCACCTACAAGCGCATGTGCTGCCACATGCGCATGGCGCACCCGCACAAGCCGGTGCCGGTGAAGGAGCACGCAGTGGTGGCGCGTCCACAAGGAGCAGGACGAGGCCGAGCTGGAGCGGCAGCGCGCCGCCGACGAGGCCCGCTTCTACGCCGGCGTATGCGTCAACGTGGCCGACAACCTGACGAACTACATGGACGGCACGGAAGACGTGCTGCTGCGCCGGCCGCCGCGGCGCCGGCCCGTCTCCGAGGCCGACCTGCCGCAGGTGCCGGCCGGCGCCGCCGCCACATCCGACCACGGGCGCGTCTCGTTTCACGAGCTGGACGTGGCCTCGCGCCTGTGGAGCCGCCTGAGCAGCGGTGGCGGCGACGGCGGCGCAGGCCCGCCACCACCGCCGCCGCCGCTACCGTCGCCGGAGCGGGAGCCGGAGCGGCCGGCGGACGTCGACGTGCTGGGGTCGCTCGGCCTGCGGCCGGCGGCGTCGTCGCCGCCGCCGCTAGTGAAGCAGGAGCCGGTCGAGCCGCCGCCGGCCGCCGCCACCTACCGGGCGCTGCGCGAGCGGCTCTCGGAGCCGACCGCCGCCGCCGCCGAGCCGGCCGAGCTGACTGGCGAGTGGGAGCGACTCATGTGCTTCGTGTGCCACGCGTGCGGCGCCGTGTTCGGCAGCCTGTACGAGCTGGACGAGCACAAGGCGTACCGGCACCCGCACGTGCTGTGCGGCCACACCAGCCTGCCGGACGACCTGGAGCTGCTGTCCGAGGCGGTGTTCGGCCAGTACGTGAGCGGCGCGTCGGCCGAGCGCGACAACCTCGAGTTCCCCGTCGGCTGCGGCAGGTGCGACCGCAACTGCAACTCGCTGCCCGAGCTGCACCGCCACATCCTGGAGTGCGCCGGCGACGCCGACTGGAACACGTGGAGTACGCCGCGGAAGCGCAAGTGGCGCGGCTTCGGCGCGCGCCGCCGCCGCCGCTTCCCGAGCCGGCGCGGCATGAAGCGCATCCTGGCCACGCCCAGCCGGCCCAAGCGAGAGAAGCCGCCCAAGCCCAAGCAGAGCAGAGGTGGGTCGGTGTGGGGTGACGGGGCGGCGCGCGCTGGTGCGGGCTGGGAGTGCATGGGCGTCGCAGGTGTGGCCCGTGGGCAGACTGGCCACCGGCTGCGTCGCTGGCGTGGGCTGGGCTGCGGGGAGAGGCCTGCCGTGTGACCTGGGGAGAGGTAAGCCGTTACGTGTTGACGCTGGACAGTGCCCGTGAGAATGGGTCCGTGCGACTCTCGGAATAGCATCGGTGCGTGTCCTGGCAGTCCAGCGCGAAGGCAAGTGAACGGGACTGCCTGCTCCGCTGGGGACGTGGGAAATCCCGGATGCGTCTCGGATGTGGCGGCCGTGAGAAGTGTGGGAACTTGAACGGGTTAGTTCCGTCGGGTATGCAAATCGACGCCTCGTAACGTAAAACTGAATCGTAAGCGTTCGTGCCAACATTCGGCTGGGTATAGTTTCCGTCCATGCTCTTCTTAGAAACGTTGAAGTTTTACGGGGCCCGAAGCTGACGCCGTTTTAGTGAAAACGCATTGTTTTGGAACATAATCGGCACCGATTACTGCTAACCCTCGGAGCCGCCCGCTGAGCCTCCGATGGCCGGTCACCGTCGGTAAGTTGGCTGTGCTGTGGTCCCGCCAGTCCACCTCCTGGCGCGCCGGGGCTCTCCTGGGGCCGCGCGCGGCCGCGGCCCCCGGCGCACCCACGGCGGCGGCGTCATCCCTGTCACCCAGCCCTGCACACACTAACCGTCGGCCGGCCTTTCCAGCCTTCGCGATGCGGCTTCGGAGTAGTGAGTACAGTGTTGGCCGTCCCCCGGCGGCGCGGCCCGCCCCTAGGCCCGCGCCGCGCCGCCGCCCCGCCCCGCCCCGCCCCGCGCGGCCCGGTATCCCAGACGCTGTAGCTTGAGCCGCCCGAATGCGTATCCTGGCCGATGATTGCGGCGTTTTCAATGCCGAGTGAGGCGCCCCAGCCGTTGTCGCCGCTACGTTGCTGAGATAAATCGCCACACACTGTTTGCCTGTCGTTTTGTTACTGTGTGCAGTTTACTGTTATTGCTTGCCATCCCGGGCGCAGAGGAGTTCTTGCTGGGAGGAATGTCTCGTGTGCAGTGCGCTTGGTGGTATGCCTGCGGTTATTGCATGGAAACGAATGCCTGCTATTCAGTTCCCGTTGCATGAGTGGCTCGCGCCAACGCGCTCCACGAGTTTGTTTATGATGTGATGCCGCCACGTCGTGCCCATCCGTCCCATGCCTCTGGCCCTCATGCGTAACAAGTGTTTGGTAGGTACGGTGGACCTTTTGAGTCCTGTCTCTTTTAAGGCAGTTATACGTTCTTGGTGTATTGGGATGGAAGTCCTGGATGGGACGGGACGGAGCTAGGGTCGCCCTTGGTTCCAGAAAGTAACATCGCTTGGGCCTATGATAAAAGCAAGATATTTGAAAGTCCAAATTTACTCTGGATCCCTATGTTGAGAGGAGGCTCCCAGCCCAACCCATGCTCGTGCTCGGAGTCGACCCAGTTTTGCATCCCGCTCTCTGCATAACGCCCCGTATATTATTTACCCTCACACGAACCCAGTACAACGTGACAATGTGACCATTTACTTCTAGCGTGAGTCGTCATTAGTTCCTGAAACCACCGGTCTAGCTTTGTCATGTATCTTGCTGGACACCCTCGTGCCTAACGCAGACTCCCGTTACAGACACGTCCGCCGACTCCATCGAGAAAATGCTGGCCAACCTGCCGGCCAAGCGCGTCTCCAAGCAGCTGTTCCCCATGCTGAACCTGGTGCAGCTGCAGAAGCGGCAGCAGAAGCAGCCGGCGGTGGGTGGCGGCGAGCCGGAGCCCACGCCGGGCCCCAGCGGCCTGGCCGTGCGCAGCTCGCGCCGCCTCGCGCAGACAGCCGACGAGCCGCGCTCGCCCGCCGCCGACGAGCCGGCCGAATCGAGCTCGTCCAGCTCGTCAGGCTCGTCCCGGAGCGGCGGCGGCGCGCGGTCGCGCCGCGCCGTCCGCCTCAGCCGGGGCTCGTCGCCTGCGCCGGCCGCGCCGCCGGCGCCGGACGCCGCCGCCGGCCAGGCAGACCTGACGGGCGCCGACGGCGCGGCGTCCCAGCCGACCGAGGAGGGCGGGCCGCCCGCCGCCGCCGGGCGCGACGCCGCACCGCACGAGGAGCGCCCCAGCGAGGCAGCCAGTATGGCGGGCTCCGATCGGGCCGGTGATGCGGCGGCCGGGCCGGCGACGGTCTCGGCCGCCGAGCACGTGACCGGCGCGTCGGCTGACGGCGCCGACGGCTCGAAGGCGGCTACTGGTGACGTCAGGGTGGATGTGGCCGCAAGCGAGGACGTCATCTCGTCAGTGGTGCAGGAGCAGCCCACCGAAGCAGGAAAAGTCGAAGTCAAAGCAGAGCAGGGCGCGGGCGTGACCGACGTGAAAGGTGGTGACGCGAAATCTACCTCTCCAGACACGGGCAAGGAGGATGATACCTCCGCGAGTATGGACGCTGGCGAAGGCGCCGCTGACGCAATACGCTCGTCGGATGAGGCAACTGGCTCTGTGGCACCCCCTACCAAGGACGAGCCCAGGCCAAAGAAAACATCCCCGACCAAGACAAAACCCAAAACCAAGAGTTCAAAACTGACCACACCTGTCAAGAAGCCGACCGACAAGTCAGGCGTAAACACTACCACCAAGTCCGGCGGCAGCTCTGTCACCAAGTCGGGAGGCAAGTCGAGCGCCAAATCGGGCTCCAAAGCTGGAGCCCGTAGCACCAGCGTGCCTCGCGCGGGCCAGCGCGACCGGAGCCGCGCCGCCGGCCGCGCCCAGTCGGCAGGGGCCGACGCGGGCGGCGCGCGTCACGCGCTCGGCGCCGGAGCCGGCGGCCGGCCGCGGCGCGCGCGCCAAGCGGCCGCCGCCGAGCCCGTCGCCGTCCGCGCCCCGCTCACGCACGCCGTCGGTGGCGCGCCGCGGCAGCCCCACTCCGTCCGTGTCGTCGCGGTCGCAGCGCGCCAGCTCCGTGACACCGCCGTCGCGGCCCAAGAAGGCGGACGCGCGGGCCGGCGGGCGAGGCGTCGGCGCGCACCGGTACCAAGCGAGCCGGCGGCGAGGCGGCGGGGCCGCCGGCAAAGGCGCGAGCCAAGCAGAAGGCCGGTCCCGCTGGCGGCAAAGGGAAGACGTCTGGAAAGGCCGTCGGCGTAGATGCCAGTCAGAAGATGTCTGAAAAGGGAGATACAGCGCCAGAGAAGGAAGATAAGGCGCCTGCGAAGGGAAGCAAGGCGCCTGAGAAGGAAAGTAAGGTGCCTGAAACGCCGTCATTATTGAAGAAGAAGGCTGTCGAAAAGGCGGTTCAGACCGGAAAGAGCAAGAAAGCGAAGACAAAAACAAGTGAGACTGAGGGTGCAAAGATGGAAGACGGAAACAGCCAGGACACTGAGGCTATGGCGGTGACTCCGACCAGCGGGAAGAAGACAGCGCAGAAACGTAGCCGATCGATCGGAAAGAAGAGCCCTGCCAAGAAACGAGCCACGAAACAAAACGGAGCTGAAGAAACCCCCGCGCAAACGACGGAGACGCAGGCGCCCGAAACCGCAACCGGCGCTGACCCGGCCGCCGTGGACACCGAGCGGGCCGCCGAGTCGACCGGCGAGGCTGCGGAGGCGCCCGGCCGGCTGCCGTCGGCCGAGCCGGAGCTGGAGCCGGAGGCGGAGGAGCGCGGCCGGAAGCGCGTCACTTCCGCCGAGCCGCCCGAGGAACGCGGCCGGAAGCGCAGCCGCCGCCTGAGCGCCGAGTCGCGGCCGGGCAGCGAGCTGAGCGCGCCGAGCAGCGGACGCGCCGCCGGCGACGCCGACGACATGTTCACCGTGTCGCTCACCACCGGCCGCACGCGCACTGTTTACACCTGCAAGAAGTGCTGTCAGAAGTTGTACCGGCTGTCGACGCTCGAGCGGCACATCCAGAAGTGCTGCGACATGTCCGAGTTCAGTCTGCGCTCGCTGATGGACGCGGCGAGCCAGGGAGAGAGCGAGCTGGAGTGTCCGTTCTGCTCGAAGCCGCAGGCAACGCCCGACGAGCTGCACCGGCACGTGGACGCGTGCCGCGAGGCCGAAGCGCGCCAAGACGCCGAGCGGCGAGCAGCCGGAGCAGGAGGAACCTCCGCCGCCGCCGCCGGACGCGGCCGAGCGCGGCCCGCCCGCCGCCGACGCGGACGCGCACCTCAGCGTGGACGTGGCCAACGGGTCGGCACCGTCGGCAGCGACGGACGCTGGGGTGGAGGAGACGGCGTCGGAGGAGACGGCGGTGGCGGAGGCGCGGCCGCCGGCGGAGACGCAGGCGCAGCCGTCGCCGGGCGCGCAGGAGGTGACCTCGTCCACGGACGGCGAGCTGCCGGCCGAGCGGGCCGCCTCGCCGGCCGCCGACGAGCCCGTCTCCTCGTCCGACCCGGTGACGTCATCGCGTGCCGACGGCGGCCGCCCGGAGGCGCTGGAGCCGGCGGCGCCGCGGCCGCGGTCGGCCATCATCTCCGCCGCCAGCCCCGTGAAGCCGTTGGCGGCCGGCGCGGCACCGCTCTGCTTCCAGTGCCAGCGGTGTCAGCGGCACTTTCTGAGCGCGGCCCGGCTGGCGGCGCACCGCGCCCGCGGCGGCTGCGAGCCGGCGCAACGGCCGCGCGAGGAGCGCATCAGCAAGAAGGAAGGCCTCTTCAGCCTGCTGCACAACCTGAAGCGGGAGTTCCTGGCCGCCTCGCTGGCCGAGATGAAGGGCAGCGTCGAGGCGACCGACGCCAGTCTGGAGCAGATCCAGGTGATCTGGCGCATCGTGGACAAGTTCATCGGCTGCCTTTGTGACCGCGACACCGAGTGGGAGAACGAGGTGAGGTGGATGTCTGCGTGCCGACGAGTGCGCGACGTTGTCTGTTTTAAGGTCATTGATCACGACAGGAGCGATGCCGTGTGCTGCTCGAATCGCATTCGCTCATATCGCCTTGGCTTTGTGGAACGACACATTTATTGTTTACTGTACGGAGTAACGAGATTCGCCGGGTTTTGTGAACATGGTCCTCTCCGCCTTATGTGGATCTCGTGACTTGATGGTGGGGCTACGCATGATTCAGTTCGGGTAGGAGGCCATCGGCGCTTACACGCCATATCCGCGGGCGCATGAAGCAGGATTGGTCGTCCCAACCCGCGCGTTGCACGGAGGCCTTCGTCGTCGGCCGCGTGACATCCGTCCAGAGTCAAACCGCTGGCCGATGGCCCACAGGTTCCCCAGGTTGTAGTCTGTCTCGTGCGAGTCGAGTCATGGGACGAGGTGACCCTGCCTTCCACCGGTTGTGATTCTCTATATTTGACCCTGCTCCCGGCGCTTAATGCTGGCCTTGCCCTCCGCAGATCGAGAAGAAGCGGTACTTGCGCGTGCGCCTCCTGCAGCGGGTCAAGGCCATGTCGGCCGGCCGCGACAAGGACAACACCGAGGAGAACATGGACGCCGTGCTGCTGGGCCTTGACGAGTTGATGCGCAACGATGACGTGCTGCGCTTCCTGCGCGAGGCGCAGGGCCGCGGCCGGCGCGACACGCACATCGTGCAGAGCATGGAGCGCGAGGGCCTGTTCGGGTACGGCGCGCGCGGCGTCGACAAGCGGCTGTGGTCGGCGGCCGAGGAGGGCCGGTCGGCGGCTGCGCCGCTGCCGCTGGCGGCCGGCGACGAGCCCGGCGCGCCGCGCAGCCCGCGCCGGCCGCACGGCCCGCCCCAGCGCAACCGCAGCCCCCGGCCGGCCAGCGTCATCGAGAACATGCGCAACAACTTCAACCAGGGCCAGGAGGCGCCGCTGCCGCCGCTCGGGGACCTGCTGGCGCCCGAGCCGCTGCCGGAGTACGGCGAGTACCAGCCGCCGCCGCCGCTGCCGCCGCCGCCGCCGGAGGAGTACCTGTACCCGGCGCCGCTGGACGCGGCACCGCCGCCGCTACGTCCGCCGCCGCCGCTCGGCGCCGACCAGGCCAGCTCATCAGGTCAGCACGAGCCGCGAGCGGTCCTGCCTCTGGGCGGTGGTGTCCTGCATGCCTTTTGAGACCTTGAGACGCTGTATGCATATCGCGACTTGTTTCGTACTTCATGACGCCTGCTCCCCTAGAATCGTGCATTCACGCTGTGAAACGGGATTGCCCATCCCTAACCACCGAACGCACTTGTTTGCAGGTCTTGGCTTCATCATGAGCACGGTGAACTCGGTGCTGGATGATGACAATAGCAACCTCAGCGTGACCTCGTCCGCCCCTTCACTGACAGCTAGCGACAACCGAGAGAACCTCTCGGCCACTGGCTCGGACTTTACACTGGACTCGGGTCTCCAGCAGGCCATGGGTGGGTGGCTTTCTCGGTTTCTCACTATTAGCGATCTTTCCGTCTTGTAGCAATCTTCTTGCCAGGTGGCTTTGCGCTCGCAGTCTGTCCCCTGTCCCCGACTGTCTGAGGTTGTCACGGTGCATCGCATGTGTTATTCCGTGTCAATTAACTTTCTCGCACTTAGTGCTCCAAGATCACGATGCTTCCTGTTTTCTCTTACCCGTGCTCGCATGATTTCTCTCCAGCTGATGGCTTTGGACGAGCTTTTCTTCTCTGAACTCTGAATGAACTTCTCCTGTCACGTGATCTGTGAACGAACTTCTACGGCTGCACCGTGCGCAGTTCGGTAGCAGTGCGCGGCGGTGCATGGGCCGTTCCTCGGCGGCATGCGCAGGCATGCGAGAGGCGGCGACGGCCGCTGCGGGCCGGCGTGGCCGGTGTACTGACCCGGTCGCCGTCTCACCAGCGGCTCCTCCGCGCCAGGTATCACCGACGAGGAGATGAGCATGCTCGAGCAGCTGGGCTCCTGCAAGAGCCAGGACCTGGTGTACGACAACACGGCGGCCGACGCCCAGGTGGCGCCGCCGCCGCCGCCGCCACCACCGCCGCCGCCGCTGGCGCCGCCGCCGCCGCCGCCACCGCCGCCGCCTCCGCCGCCGCCTGCCGCTCCGCTGTCGCCGGCGGCGGCGGCCGAGCGGCGCCGCGAGGAGGATGTGGCCGGCGAGTTCGAGTGCCCGATCTGCGACCGCCGCTTCCGCGGCCGGCCCTCCGTCCGGCAGCACCTCATGTGGCAGCACCGCGCCTCCCAGGACAAAGTGGACCGCAAGACGGAGAACCTGGTGCCCATCCAGGTGAGACAGCGCCCACCGCTGCCGGCGTACTCCCAGCGTACCCACCTCTTCCGGGACACTCTCAAGGGCTCTGCGGTGCTCATCGATTCGAGTGTTGGCACAGTGCTTAAAGCTTGCAGGCCTGTTATTTCAACGTAGTCATGGCTTGGTGTCGGATGTTTCTTGGAGTTCTAACAAGTGTGGTACACTTAAAACATCATTTGTTTTGTTGCGTTTTTTTCAGCAAAGTGTGATTTGAAACGCAGACCCTGCCCCGCGAGGCACTATTCCAACTGAGCCCGCTTTGCTCTGACTTGTGTCTGCTGCTGGGACGGCAGATCGTGCCGCCACACCAGCGGCACCAGGCGTGCTTCGTCTGCGGGGAGCTGATCCGGGAGCCTATCTTCCTGAACCTGCACATTGCGCGCGCGCACCTGCGCCGGCCGCCAACCACCGGCGCCGCCGGGTCGGCCACCGCCGCCGCCGCCGCCGGCAGCGGCCTCAAGACGCAGATGAGCACCGCGCTCGGCGGCCTCTTCGACCGCGCCATCACCAACATGCTGGGCCGCAGCGCCAAGCTCATGTCGCAGACCGGCAAGGCCAAGGCGTGAGTAGTCGTACTGATGACAGGCGTGCCGGCGCGGTAGGATGTGATCAGGCTGGGGGAGGGGCGGGGGCTGCTGGATGGTAGAGGTTATTGCTGGCGGTCGGTGTGCAGGGCTCCGGGTCTGGCAAATGCATCGCGTCAGTTGTGAGGACATGATTGAGGACATGAGTAACATGAGTGAGGTTCATACGTGGCAGTTACGGCGGCCTGGGAGTGGTGAAGGAGTTGTTTGTGCTCCTGGACAAACGTACGGCGGGATGACTGCCAGTCAGGGCAGTCTTGTTCTGCTCCTTCTGGCAATGGTGGAGACTGGGCCGCTGATCTGGCTGTGTTGACGTCTGCGTCCCTGCGGGCCCCGTCCCCGGCGTTCGCTCTTCGGCCTAACCTGACGCCACATGGCGTGCCAGTCAGCTGGGGACCATAGACTCGCATCCTGCCGACTGTGCCGACAATGCCAGCTGTTTGACAGCTGTCTGTGTCAGTGTGACAGCTGTGTGTGTTGAGTGTGACAGATGTGTGTGTGAGTGTGACATATGTGATGCGATGGCATAGACAGACGCGTGAAAAGAGCGCAGATTGAAGCTCGGATTAGACCCGGAGGCGCCAGGGTTGACGCTAGACGAGGGCCGACTGGCGTGAGCCGGCTGCGACGCCGTCGCCGGCTGCCCGTCACACGGTGTCTCTCCGTCAGGGTTGATCTCAAGTCCCCGGCGCCGGCGGCGAGCCCGGGACCGGTGCCGGCCGAGGCCCCGGCGGCGCCCGCCGTCGGCCGACTCGACGGCTCCAACACCAACAGCTGGCCGTACGGCTGTCACCTCTGCGACGAAAGGTGCGCACGGCAGACGGCGTTACGCGCCTGGCAGACACTTCATATTGAAAGGGAAACACCTGAAGCCGCTGACGCTCTGAAGGGGATAAGCACGGTTAAAAAAGGGGTGCCGGTAGTGTAGTGGTTATCACGTCCGCGTTAGCCACTGCGCGTCTGAAAAACCAAAGGTACGGCGTTCGATTCCCCGCGGTGCCCGCCCTTCCTGCCAGGGTGAGAGGCAGGCGACGCCATATAGCCTCAGCAGCTGAGTGGGTCGTAGAGCCCCAATCACACACAAGCACGGTTAAAACGGGGCTCAGCGTTTTCAGGACTGTGGTCGCACGAGCTGCTGGGAGTGAACACAGTGCCTGAGCGGTTTCAAACGAGGTTAGGCACGGGGAAATCCGAGCTGGCCCGGCAGGAGGACGGCTGTTATGAGCTGCTGTCGCCGGCTCGACAGCCCCAGACGTGGCCGTCACCACCGACTGACCCCCGCCACTGTCCGCCCGCTCAGGTTCAAGCAGGCGAGCGGACTGGCTCGCCACATCGGCGCCGCCCACAAGCACGTCAAGTTCAACCTCTCCGACCTGGGCGACGTCAAGAAGTGCCCGCTCTGCGACGTCATCTTCGAGAACATGGCGTCGGTGGCGCTGCACGCGCAGCTGGCCCACAAGGACGCGGGCATCAGTCGGCGCGGCATCATAGGTGAGGCCTGGCCAGCCGCCGACCGTGGCGCGGCTGGGCGACGAACGCCTTCTCCGCCGGTTATGTGTGGTGCAGATGTTCTCAAAGGCGTACGATTCGCTCATTCTGGATTGTCGACCCGGCCCTGGCCTGTTAGTGAATGCTCGTTGACTTCAGTATCCTGGCTGCTGACCTGCTGCCTGCTTTGGTCAAAATCGTGCGGCCCTTAAGCGACCTGAAGTGCATAGCGCTTGGCCGACGGCGGCCATTCTGCTCATCATAATGACTGACAAATGGCAAGAGCTGTTGACAACCCGGCATTCGTAGAACTAGTGACAGTTCTCACGTTTTGAGCACGTGTTACTGACCCTGATGACTGCGGCAGACCTTTTGTAGTCCTGCAACTCACCTTTTGATGACCTTTCGCTTTCGTTGTATATGTGTGTGGCCCTCTGCTGACCTTTCTCTGATCAGCGCTTGATCTGCCGCTGACTCGTGTCTGCCCTGCGTCTGCCCTGCGCGTGGCCCGCACCCGTCCATTGTCTGGCTCCGTGCCTGCCCTGTGTCTACCTCGTGCCTGTCATGCGCCTTGCCATTCCAGTCCACCGTCTAGCTCCGTGCCTGCCCCGTGTCTGCCGCGCCTGAGCCGCGTGTCTGACCCACACCAGTCCAGTGTCTGGCCGTCTGTGCCCTGTGTCTGCGCCACGCCTGAGCCACGTGTCTGACGTGCTCGGCAGCGATGGCGATGCGGCGCGGCCAAGAGTCGGCCGCCAGCCAGGTGCAGTGTCCGGTCTGCGGCGAGAGCCACCCGGTGTCGGGCGACACCAGCCTCACGCGCCACATGGCGCTGGCGCACCGCCACTGGCGCCTGGCGCTCGACGTGGTCGGCAACGAGATCAAGTTCGTGTGCCACTCGCTGGCGGACGCCACCGCCACCGTCGTCAAGCCAATCGTCATCAAGGGTGAGCGCGTCTGTCAGGGACGAAGAAGAAGGTGTGCTGGGGCTCAGGGCTGCGGCGAAGGTGTGCTCGCGTACTCGCGCTCACGCACACGTCCAGATGGACGTGTGCGTGGTGGAAAGGATGGGTGGGGTGTCGGGTCTCTAACTTTCGTTTCTCTTGAGTTTAGGTGTTCTGGTTAGCTATGGAGCATCTGGTCAAAATGTGTGATATACTTATCCTGCACCGCCGAGTCGAACCTAGTGCCTTGCCTTGCTGCATTGCTAGCGATGTAGTTCGGAAATATCTCGCCATGCCAACGTTTGTAGTCGTTGGCACTTTGCTGGGAGCCGACGGAACGGGGACTAGCTCGCGTGCGTCAGTAGTTGAACGCTGACGCCTGTGGTGACGCCTCCGAGCCCACCCGCCTGAGCCAGCCGCCGTTTGCGCCCCCTCCAGCCCCGCGCGACGACAGACCGGACGAGTCGAGGCAGCTGGCGGAGCACGCGCGCGCCTCGGCCGGCCCGCGCGCCACCAAGCCGAAGGAGGCGTCGCCGCCGGAGGACGCCGACAGCCCGTCCCTGCTGGATATCTCCGACTACACGCCGCGGCCGGGGCCGTCGCAGGCGGGCGGCGAGGCGCCGGCGGCAGCGGCCAGCGCCGAGTCGTCGCCGGAAGGGGCCGACGCCGGCGGCGCCGAGCCGGCCGCGCCGCCCGGCGACGCCGCGCCCGCCGAGGACGAGGAGGGCGACTTCATGTGCTCTGGTGAGTGGCCGACTTGGGTCGATGTCAGCTGTAACGAGGGCGGAACCTGGGGAACGGGAGACTATGTTGTGTACGGATGTGGGGAAGGGGGAATTCAGTGTTCACAGGTAAGATGTAAGAAGAGCAGCCGGTTTCATAAGCATGCTTTGTGACCCTTTTTTGCTTGTTTTGATTTTGCACACCGGATGGTTGTCTTTGTTTATATTTCAGTGATTTATTTCTTGCACTACATCGAGTGTTTCGCTATAAGTCACCGAATGCTCCTGTTCTCTTCAGCTGTCTTGATGGGGCGTTTGGCTCAGCTTCTGCCTGTATCGTACAAAGAATGCCCTACGCCCTGGCTACCGATCTTTTATGTTCCTTCGTCTGCATTGTTTTCCGCATCAGTGATGGGAATGTCCCCGGCATGTACTGGCTACTCACGGCATTTAATACCCATGTCCTCAGACCATTATTCTGGTGAATGCCGCCCATTCCTTTTGCTAGAGCTGGGTGTCGGGTTTTCAGACGCGGATTGGCCGTACCAGGAGTGTTCGGACACTAACAGCAACGCTAGCAGCTCCAGTGAAATAAACAACTTCTCGTGCTCAGGTAGACAGGGGTGCGAGGTGCTCTGCACGCCCCCCGTGCCCACCGCTGGCCTAATTCGGTGACGGGCTGCCTCAACCGTTCCGCTGCCACCCGAGTGTGCGGTTCGCTCCCCTGATCGGCCGAGCGTGGGTTCGCGCCCCGCGGCCTGCTGAGTTTTCAGCTCTTCAAGCCTTGTGAGGCGGCGGCGTCGGACTGCGGCCGTGCGATGTTGGCTGTGTTGAGCGCGCCGTGAGCGCCGTCTGACGGGGCGGGCGACATGGGGAGCGGTGAGCGCGTGAGGGCCGTGCCGGAGCCGGCGGCCGCTGACCGCCGCCCGCGCGCCGCCCGCAGAGTGTGGCATCAGCTTCTCGACGCCGCAGAAGGTGGTGGCGCACATGGAGAGCGAGCACCCGGTCAACGCGTCTGTGGGCGTGCCGGGCCTGGAGGACGCCCGCTCCGAGGCCTCTTCGGTCAGTACTGGCGGTGAAGCGGGGCGGCGCTAACGGCCGGGCCCGGCCCCGGCCCCGGCCCCGGGCTCGGCTGCGGCCGGCTGACCGGTCTGCCGATGGACCCTTGGTGGTGCATCCGACGCCCGCCCTTCTTGACCCTATCCGTCCGTGTGTCAGCCTTTCAATGCCTCTATGGGCGGAGGCAGCATCGAGCTCCTTCTGCCTGCAGCTCGAGCTGGTCTTCCACCTTCCACGGGGAAGGAGGAAGGCCAGCGTTGAAAGACAGATGTGGCGCGTTAGGTTGATCTGACGAAGTGTGTGTTCGGTCGATCTGACGAGGTGCGTGTTCAGTCGATCTAACGAGATGTGTGCTCGGTCGATCTGGCGAGGTGCGTGTTCGGTCGATCTGACGAGGTGTGCGTTCGCTGTTGCTTGACGGACACATGACGTTCAATGTAAGCTGTCGGGGCCAGTGCGTCAGACTCCGATGCTTGGCACAATATCTATGACGATGTGTGTGTGTGTGTGTGCGTGTGTGTGTGTGTGTGTGTGTGTGTGTGTGTGTGTGTGTGTGTGTGTGTGTGTGTGTGTGTGTGTGTGTGTGTGTGTGTGTGTGTGTGTGTGTGTGTGTGTGTGTGTGTGTGTGTGTGTGTGTGTGTGTGTGTGCGTGTGTGTGTGTGTGCGCGTGCGCGTGCGCGTGCGTGTGTGCGTGCGCGTGCGTGTGTGCGTGCGTACGTGCGTGCGCGTGCGCGCGCGCGCGTGTGTGTGAATGACGCTCTGACAGCACAGTATGCATGCGGAGCTTCGAGTGCAACTGGGTCATACAGCGCCCAGCAGTTTCTATGGTGGGGTTCGATTGTTAAGCGTGGTGATACGGTACTGAACGACCGCATTCATATTTTAAGAGCTCCATTGCTTTTGATGTCACAAACTTCCACAGAGTGAAGATGGTGGCTTACTTCCATCGATAGTCTTCAGGGCATTGTTTTGTAGGAGCATTAGTTTCCCGGCGTTAGGAATTGGGTCACGTGACCAGCTAAATGCTCTGCCTTGGCCACCCGCTATATGGCCAGGACGGTCGGCGCGCCCTAAAGCCCAAATTGCCATCACCATCATGTGATGGCCACCCAAGCCACGGAGGGGTTTTTCCAAATCTCAGCCCTCTTGGACCAGTTGCGGTCCTGAGCCATCCTGCTTATCTGCCCGCTGATAGACATGTACGCATCTGTGACCGTGGGGTCTCGGGCCGTCTGCTGACCGGGCCTGCCGCGCCGCCACAGGAGGACGGTGAGCCGAACGGCAAGGCTGCTGGCGGCGCTGGTCGAGGCGCACCCGCACGGCTCGGCGCTGGCCGAGCTGGTGCGACAGCTGAAGCAGGCCGACCGGTACGCGGCGCCCGGCCGGCGCGTGCCCCTCTCCGAGGAGCAGCTGCAGAAGTGCCTCCAGCTCACCTCGCGCATGCGCAACGGCGGCGTGTCGCGTCCGCCGCACAGCTGCGGCCGGCCGCCGCGGCGCGCCGACGCCGCCGGCTCGCGCACCGTCGAGCGCGTCGACCGCGCCCAGAGCCTGCGCATCATGAGCATGCTGCAGCGGGAGACGCGCCGGCCGGCCGACAGTGAGGCCGACCCGTACCAGTTCACCGACGAGGTGGCCGAGGCGCGCCGGCCCAGCGTGGTGCGCACGTACGCGCGCCAGCGTCCGCCCGGCGCGCCGCCGCGCCCGCTGGCGCGCCGCGCCGACGCCGCCAAGCCCAACCACATCCTCGAGTCGATGAAGCAGAACTTCAACGAGGCGACGGCGGCGGCGGCGGCAGCCGAGGCGGCCACAGAGGCGGCGACCGAGACCGAGGCCGAGTCGGAGCGTCCCGAGCGACGCTCGCCGGCCAAGCGCGCCAAGCCGCGCAAGCCCGTCACCGACGAGGAGGGACTGGACCGCGTTATTGAGGAAGTGATCCGCGCTTGGGCCGCTGAGGACGGCGGCGCGGCCGACGCCGAGCCGGCGCCGACGCCGGGCGAGCCGTCGACCGAGCCGTCGGCCGAACCGTCGACCGAGCCGTCGACCGAGCCGTCGACCGAGCCGTCGGCCGAGTCATCAGCCGAGGCGGACTCAGAGCCGCCGGCGTCCGACCGGTCCCCCGCGCCCGACGGGGAGCTGTCGGACGCCGAGCAGGCGGCCAAGGCGGCCGCGCCCACTGCCGACGAGGTGCCGGCAGAGCCCAGCGGTGACGGAGCGGCGGACGGTGTTTCGCCGCCCGCCGCTGACGCCGCTGCTGTCGCTACCGCCGCTGCCCCGGCCCCCGCCGCTGTCGAGCCGCCGGCGCGGCCCGACAGGGAGCCGGCGCCGGCCGGGGCGCCGCGCCCCACCGCCATAGAAGCGCAGCTGGCCGACTGGGAGGCCTAGTGGCGGCTGCCCGCGCGCGCCGCGCGCGGCCGCTCCTGCGTGGGCGGTCACGCGCGCGCGCGCCCACTCATCACGTGTCTTTCGGCCGCTGCTCCCGCGTGTGGAGCGCGCTCGGCCAGCGGGACCGGCCCGACGACAGGGTAGCGAGCCGGGCCGACGGTAGCCAATAATGGGGCGGCGCCGGCGCCGTTTCCGCTGGCAGTCAGCGGGCTGGCAGTCAGCTGGCGGCGCCGTGTTATCAGGTGTAGCGTTTGTAGGCGATTGTGATACTGTTGTTGCCCCGGCAGGCGCTGGCGTCCGCTGCGGCGGAACACGACTGCCAGGCGGGTGGAGCGCGCCCGTTTCACCTCGCGGAAACATATCTAGTCCCGTCAGAGGCCGTCGGGCCGGGGCGGCGCGGTCGGGCGCGGGCGCGCGCGCCCGGCCCCGCGATGTACTGTCGTGTCGTGAGGGCGCCGCGGCCAGCCCCGCGCGCCCGTGTATGATATATGATATTCGTTTGTAGACACGCCGCATTGAGGCATTACATATATACATTATTCTTGCGTACCGGATTGGTTGCGGCGGGCCAGCGACATTGAGATGCTGCGTCGAGCCTGCATTCTTCGTTGTTCTGCTGCGCCCATCATGGCGACGTCCTGGTATAAGCTGTGTCAAGCGAAGGTGGCCGTCCTGAGTGGCGGCATGAGCCTCGCCCTCCGCAGACGAACCAGCGACCGCTCGGCCAACTTCGTTCAATGCAAACCAGTCAGCGTGTTCTCATACAGTGGAGCAGGAGACCAAAGATGTGGGATACCGCACATCATATATGTATTTTACAAATGGCATTCACGAATTCCAACGGCGAATGCGTCACAATAAATATAAGTGCATTATGAACAAAATACCCTCAACTGCATACGTAAAAAAGAACAAGATCAACACGAGCATGGCTGCATGGGAAGCAATGGAACCCAGAGCGGGCGAATGAAACTTCGCGCCGATGAGCAGCGGTTGTGAGCCTTAGCACCGACCCGGTCGATAGCGGTCGGCGGCGGGAACTTAAGTGGTCCGCGAGCTCCAAAGATGGCGCCGCTCCGCGCCACAGCACGCACCCCACACACGGCCAAGGCACTGTCACGCCGGCGCCAGCGCGGTCCGGCCAGCGGCGGCATATCTGCCCCGGCTGCCGGTCACCCGCGCGCACACGCGGCCGGCGGCGGCGCCCGGCCGGCCGGCCACCACCGGCCGGCCGAAATAAGATTTCGTTGGGGAAGCCGGGGGACGAGACGGCTCCCCACGCTACCTACTAGAAGCAGGCCAGAGCGGCCCGCCGGCGCCGACAGAGCGACAGTCCGAGAAGAGCGCCCCGTACCCATATCACCGCCTCGCTGTAAAGCCCTGGTTATAAGCTGAAGTGTTTGGCGGCCGGTGTCGCGGCGCGGCCGGCCGCGCGGCGGCGGCGGCGGTGGCAGCGGCGGCGGCGGCGCGCGCCGGGCGGGCCGCCGCGCGCCCATCACCGGCACGCCAGGCACGTGTTGCAGACGGTCTGCTGCGGCGGGCCCGGCATGCAGTCGTCGTGGCAGAAGGCGCCGCACTTCTGGCACATCACCATCGCCTTGAGGCTGCAGCCACACTCGCCGCCGCTGGAGACGACCTTCACCATGGGCCGGCCGCCCTGCATATGGAACACGGGCTGACCGGCGGCCGCCGGCGCCGGAGCCGCCGCCGCTGCTGCCGCCGCCGCCGCCGCCTGACCCGTGGCCGTCGGGTTTGGTGAGTTCTGAATCTGCACCACCTGCTGGTTGAGACTGACGTACTGCGCGGCTGCGGCGGGCGAGTCCACCTGCGGCGGCGGCGGCTGCCCGAGGGGAGGCCGGTATACGGCCGGCGCCCACTGCTGCGGCCGCACCGCCACGTTCTGATTGGGGTCCAGCATGTACCGCTGCTGCGGCACCGGCGGCCGCTGCTGCTGCTGCTGCATCATCGTCAGCTGCTGCTGCTGCTGCTGCTGAGCAGCCAGCATCTGCTGTTGACGATGCTGCTGCTGCTGCATCTGCTGATTAATGAAGTGCTGCTGCTGCTGCTGCGCTATCATATGCTGCTGCTGCTGCTGTGGATGTTGTTGCTGCTGCTGCTGCTGTTGTTGCTGTTGTCGGACCTGCATCTGCTGCTGCTGCATCAGCTGCTGATGTGACACCATCTGCTGCTGCTGCTGCTGCTGCATGTACTGCTGTTGCTGTTGCTGCTGTTGCTGCTGCTGCTGGTGATGGTGGATCAGCTGGTGCTGGGCGGCCGGCTGCTGAGCGAGCGGCGTCAGCGGCACGGCGCCGCCGGTGGAGCTGGGCCGCGCCAGCCGGTGCAGGGCGGCCGGCGGCCGGTCAGGCGGCGCGCTCGAGGCGCGCGGCGACTCCAGCACCGGTCGCATCACCAGCACCGTCTTGCCGCTGCTGTCCGTCATCTGCCGAGCACCCCGGGCCCCGGTGAGATTACCGCCGGCGGCGCCACGTCCGACCCGGCACAGCCGTGGCCCGGACGGCGCGGAATCCCGCTGATGGCGTCAGCGGCTTTGTCGAGTAAAATAAACCGCGCAGTCCGCAGGAGCTGCCAGGAATCCCTAGCTTCAATTGTGCAGAAATACTGACAGGGGTAATAGTTGACACGAATGGTTTAGTCGTCATCATTTTGTTCGAGCTGCAGTAAGAGATTCAGCACCAAGTCAATCATGCTGTTCTAATACTCAACAAAACTACTGAGAAATTTAGACATTGAACTACGAGGACGGGCCGCAGGTGACGAAAAAGGGATACTATACCGATCGGGCCCTATTTTTCCGTATACCCAGCGGTTGCATAGAACGAAAACCACAACTAAGTTGCTCTTTTTTCGTCGCGTCGTGCAGGCACATAGACTGTAGGCTATTTACCTTTCCGACTCAATTTCGTTTCACATTGAGTTTTACGGATTACACCATGGGTGCAACCGTTCACTCTCGTTAAAATGTGTCCTACGTGACTGGACTGGTTGTAAAGGCAAAATATGCCAAGTTAGCACCACATTCTCGCCGCTGCGCGCGCCAAGGCGTCACCCAAAAATCAGTCACATCATGTCCGCAACCTATTTATGGGCTGACAACCACTCGCTTCCCATAGCTTGATGAGGAAATTCACGCCCACCCTGTCCGTCTGCACGCCACCAAAAAGCAGAGTTGAACCGGCCACCCTGGAACGTTCACAGGGATGCATGTCCGGAAGGCTCCACCCACACCGCCCGTGGGCCCCGCGCTCCAGGCCCCGTCACGCTGCTGGCGCCGCGCCAGACCCCGACTCTAGCACCGCCTCACCTGGTACACCTTCTGCTTGCCGCGCACCAGCAGGTCCTTGCGCAGCACCACCGTGCCATTCTCGCCCAGCTCGCCCAGCACTAGCGCGTCCTGCGGCTGCGGTTGCGACTGCGGCTGCGACTGCTGTTGCGGCTGTGGCTGCTGCTGCTGCGGCTGCTGAGGCGCCGGCTGCGACTGCTGCTGCGGCTGCTGCGGCGCCGGCTGCGGCGGTGGCGTGGCTGCGTGTGAGCCGCCGGCGCCGCCGCCGGCCGGCATGGCCACCACGCGTGTGGCGGTGAACACCTTCTGGCCGGGCACCTGGACGTACTTGACCTGCATGGCGTGCGGCGGCCCGGCGGGCCGGCGGCCGGCCGGACCGCCCCGCTCAGCCAGCAGCGCCGGCAGCGGCTTCAGCTGCGCCTGCAGCTGCGCCCGGTTCTGAGACTTGGCGATCACCGCCTGGCAGATCTGGTAGGAGCGCTCCAGGTTGACAGAGCCGGCCGGCGGGCGCGCGCTCTTCGACTTGGCCGTCTGCGGGCCGGGCGGCGGGTCAGGCGGCGCGCGCTCACCGGCAGCGGCACTGCTCGCAGCGGCGGCAGCGGCAGACGTCCGCGCGGAAGTGGCACGGCATGCGTCGCTGTGTTTATGCGGCAATCGCAAAAAAGGACGAAACTGACGCGCGGACGTGACATTTGCGTAAACGAGAGTCCTGACGCAGAACAGGCCTGCACACGCGACGGCCTGCGGCGAGTGACGGGCGCACGGTACGATTCCGCATGCTGTGCACGACGTGTAAAACAAAGTTCGACGGCACTTGCAAATCTGCTGTGTCTAAAGTTCAGGCGTCCATCTCGAGCTCGCAATGACGCGGAACACGAATCCGGACAGCTCAGGACGAAACGGACGCTCAGACGACAGGGCGAGCCCGGACAGCTCAGGACGAATTGGACGCTCAGACGACAGGGCGAATCCGGACAGCTCGGGACGAATCGGACGCTCACACGACGGGACGAATCCGGACAGCTCGGGACGAATCGGGCGCTCAGACGACATGGCGAATCCGGACAGCTCGGGACGAATGGGACGTGCAGACGACAGGACTAGTCCGGACAGCTCGGGACGAATCGGACGCTCAGACGACAGGACGAGTTCGGACAGCTTGGGACGAATCGGACGCTTAGACGACAGGACGAGTGCGGACAGCTCAGGACGAATCGGACGCTCAGACGACAGGGCGAATCCGGACAGCTCGGGACGAATCGGACGCTCAGACGACGGGACGAATCCGGACAGCTCGGGACGAATCGGACGCTCAGACGACATGACTAGTCCGGACAGCTCAGGACGAATCGGACGCTCAGACGACAGGACTAGTCCGGATAGCTCGGGACGAATCGGACGCTCAGACGACAGGACTAGTCCGGACAGCTCAGGACGAATCGGACGCTCAGACGACAGGACGAATCCGGACAGCTCGGGACGAATCGGACGCTCAGACAACAGGACTAGTCCGGACAGCTCGGGACGAATCGGACGCTCAGGCGACAGGACTAGTCCGGACAGCTCGGGACGAATCGGACGCTCAGACGACAGGACTAGTCCGGACAGCTCAGGACGAATCGGACGCTCAGACGACAGGACTAGTCCGGACAGCTCGGGACGAATCGGACGCTCCGACGACAGGACTAGTCCAGACAGCTCGGGACGAATCGGACGCTCAGACGACAGGACGAATCCGGACAGCGCCAGCTCGGGCCGTATAGCATGGCGAAGGCCCGCCATCGCCTGCTAGTCGGAACTGTCCGAGCCTGTGCACGCATGGTCGATTCACCCGCCCGCATCAGCTGCCCGGTCACGGCCGGACCTCCCCAAATCCGAGGCCACGGCAGCCGTCGAAACAGCGCCCTCCAACGCCACGGCAGCGAGTAGGACTCACTCACCCGTCCCATGCATGACAACGGCTACCAGATCCCTCCCTCTCCGCAAAATTTGTCCCGCACCACTGACCTAACACTCCCGACCCATCCCCGCCTGGCACATGGCCACCCCTGGCCGGGCTGCCTGGCCCACGCCTCGGTCTCGGCCGCGCCCCGCCACACCAGCTGACCTGTGCGCGCTGTTTGGTCTTGGCCCGCAGCGGGACGACGCCGGCGCCGGCGGCGGGGTGGAGCGGAGCGCGCGCCTGCGCGGCCGTGGAGGCGGGCAGCGGCAGCGGCGACAGCGCCGCCTGGTGGCCGGTCGGCGTGCTGGGCGGCGGCCGCGGCTGCGCCTGCGCCTGCGGCTGCGGCTGCGGGAGAGACGCGGCCAGTCCAGTCACTCGGCCGCACAGCCAGCGGTGGTGACGACAGTGACAAGGGCTCCGGGACGTGCGGTCCAACGACATCGGCCGCCGCCACCACGTGCCACGGACGGTCTGCCTGTCAAGATTCGCTTGTGGCATCCTGTTCTATACCCTGTTAAGTTACAACAGTCAGGAAAACAGCGATAACAGTGTGACATGTGCCACGAAAGCCGCTTTATCTAGGCGTGTCGCCCTTCATATGCCATAAATTTATGACGGTTACGCAATTGAAATATGCAGAACAGACCGAAACTGACGGAATCACTAAGGAAAGGGACTGGGAAAGGCCTTACATTGGTCACACCCTCCACTCCTGACGAAAACCCTGGCCGAAAACTCGACTCCCTTCAATATACAGCTTGCCATGTCGTACTGTTTACCAGAGTCCCCGGGTATCACGAGTATCCACTGTTTTTCATTTTACAGTCAGGTTTTATTCTACCGGTCGTCAACAACACCATCGTTCCAATACTGCGAAAGGACGTCATACCACCGTCCTCTGTTGACCTACAGACATTTCTCTTGACCGTCAGTGCTCGGCAAAACAACACGGAGAGCGATGTCCGCGGACAAAACCCACAGCGTCAAGCCATTACTGACTGACATTACGTCTTCTCGCCGCCCATGAGCGACCCGGCAGTCCGGCCAGAAACATCGGCGCCGACCATCTGGAGCCGGTGGGGCACCATCGCGAGATCCTCCACTGCTTCGAGTCTACGACCCGACCGCCCGAACGTGTCGGCGGTATTAACAAGTCGGGCGGCGGTACAAGATATCGCAACGGCGCGAACACGGGACTTCTTTCCAAAACGGCCTGACCGATCTACCCGACAGGGGTTGGTGGGATCAAGGCCGGCGACACGGACGAGGTCGAACAGGCCGCCGTGGCTCCGTGAAGTCGATGACGTTAATCCGTTCGCGGGGAGCTTATGACAAGCTACATCATCTAAATGGTTGAGGGCACCCCTCAGCGGGAAACGGTGCAGGGTGCAGCTTCGTGCGACCGCCATCTGCACACTTCAGACCGACACGAATTAGCTCTGGCTCCTACCAGAAGTTCAGTCGGCATATGAACATATACATTACAATAATTTTCATTTGGACGAAGTCATTTGAACCGACACCAGGGGCACACGGGAGTTCTGAAAGTAGAACTGGGAACGGTTGTGCTTTACCAGGCATCAGTGCTCTGAACGCTAGGGCAGAAGCACGTTAAAAACACCATATATGGCGGTCCGCTGCCGCGGATGACGGCAACTACGCACCTAACCACTTCAATCATTGGCATAAATTCATCAAAATTCCGAGTGGTATACGCTCATTATTATCACTAACATCGGTTGCTACGCTAAACGAACTGTCCATAACACCCCTCGGCACACGACGCCAAGATTTGTGCGCACGAAATCATAAGCAAGGAGCCTATCTGAGATTTAACTGTGCAGATGTATGCACTCACCAGCTGTTGCTGTTGCTGCTGTTGTTGCTGTTGCTGCATGGTTGGCTGCTGCTGCATGGTCGGCTGCTGCTGCTGCATGGTCGGTTGCTGCTGCTGCACGGTCCGCTGCTGCTGTAGTGTCAGCTGCACTGGCGCAGCCGTCTGTTGCTGCTCCGTGGCCTGCTGCGCCGCCGCCGCCGGCGACTGGACCGCGGCCTGCTGTCGGGCCGCTGCCGCTGCCGCTGCTGCCGCCGCCGCCGCCGCCGCCGCCACCGTCACCGCCACGGACGACGCCGGCGCGGGTACCGATATGGTTGCGGGCGGCGCGGACGCCGGAACGAGCGACGTCGCGGCGACGGCCGCCGCCGCCGCCACCGGCGGCGGAGGAGGAGGCGGCGGCGGCGGCAGCGGCGCCGGCGGCGGCGGTGGTGGTGGCGGCGGCGGCGGCGGCGGCGATGACGGCACCTGGCGCGGCGCCAGCGCTGCCAGCGGCGCCGGCGAGGTGCTGGGCGTCACCAGCGGCGTCACTGTCACCGCCTCCTGCGGTCGGCGCGGCGACGGCGTCGCCGCCGGGCTCGGTGGCGGCGAGACCAGCCGCGGCGTCGGCCCGCCAGCGTCGCCGGGCGGTGGCACCGGCACGATCGTCACTCGCTGCTCCTCCTCGTCGTCGTCGTCGTCGTCGGGCGGAGGTCGGTCTGGCGGGCGGACTGTGGTCGCCTGCAGGGCCACGCCGACCGGTGTCTCGCCGCCCGCCTCGCTGGCCGGTGACGACGGCTCAGAGTTGGCCGTCGTGATGGAGATGGTGGTGATAAGGCCATCGGGAGCGACGAGCGACCGCGCGCCGTCCGGCGCCGCCAGCAGCGCCACCGCCGGCGCCGGCGGCGGCTCGCGGGGCGCGCACGACACAGTCACCGGCGTCAGCTGTACGCGCGGCGGACTGTCGGGCGGCGTCGGCGTCCGGCGGCCTTTCTCGCTAACAAACACGGCCATCTCGGGTCGCGGTGCGTCGTCCGCCGCGTCCGCACTCTCAACCATGTCCACGGAATCCACACTGTCCACCATGTTGACGACGTCCGCACTTTCCACCATGTTGACGACGTCCGCACTTTCCACCATGTTGACGACGTCCGCGCCCTCCACCATGTCCACCGAGTCCACAACATCGGCGGCATCGACCGCGTCCGCACTGTCGGCAACTTCCGCCGCGTCGACGCTGTCGGCCGCGTCGGCCACGTCCTCCTCCTCTTCCTCCTCCTCCTCCTCCTCCACCTGCTCCATCAGCCGCTCGAGCTCCTCCTCTTCGGGCAGCTCCTCCTCCTCCTCGCCGTCACCGTCGCCGTCGCCGTCGCCGCCGTCGTCGTCGTCGTCGTCGCCGGCGGGCCGGTCGCCGTCGGGCGTGGGGCCGGCCTCATCCACCTCGGCCGACGACCAGGCCGACTCGAGCGACACGTCGTGCGGCGAGCTCCACTCTGTCGGGTGAGGAGGCGAGCGTCAGCGCACAGCCACAGCCAGCCGGACCATCGCCAGCCACATCCAGCGCACGCCAGAGAATGGGTCCATACCATACCATACCGATCGTCTTCACAATCCCCGCGGACTACCTGCGAGCGATCAGAGATCGTGCGGACGGTTCCAACCATTTGTCAGCTATAAGAATCGAGGCACAGTGTACCATGGGATATGTTGATGAAATACATCACTATTTAAATTGCGCATGCACATTCTAGCCGATTAATAACACCCCTGGTCCAAGCGAATCCCTCCGCATACATCGCTTCCCGCGCCCCTCCACCCTCCCGCGCCATAGAGCGGCGGCGGCTCGTACCGTCCTCGTTGTCCGGCGCGGGCGTGTCGGCAGCAGCCTTGCCGGCCGGCTCCGGCGGCGGCGTGGCCCACGATCTCTTTGGTTTGACTTCAGGTACGGCAGCGACAACGGCAGCGGCGGCGGCGGCGGCGGCGGCGGCGGCGGCCGGCGCGGCGGCGGTGGCGGGCGGCGACGGCGGCAGCGCGGTGGCCAGCGCGGCCTGCGCAGCGCTCGTCACCGGACTGTCGGACCGCTTCGGCCGGCGGCCCCACACCGGCTCGAAGTTCCGCGCCTGGGGACGGCGCCGTGCGTCACGTATCGTCTGGTGCGCGCAGACACTGGAGCCGTGGCGGGCCTCAAACTAGTCACAGAACATTGCGCCCGCCGGCCTCAAACTAATGATAGAACACTGTACCCGCCGGACCCTGAGCCGTGGCGGGCCTCAAACGAGCCACAGAACACCGCATCCGCCGGGCTGTGAGCCGCGGTGGGCCCCAAACTAGTCACAGAACATCGCACCTGCCGGGCTTTGAGCTGCGGCGGACCTCAAACTAGTCCCAGAACACCGCACCCGTCAAGCCTAGCATCATGCGCTCGCCTTCGGGGTTTCCCAAGAGCCGACCATTGCATGACTCGGAGGTCAATTCCATTCCCATAGCAGCATAGCTTGAAAAAATAAACCGGACAGGAATAATACCACGCCACAAAACCTTACATTCAAGAAGCGGGCGCAACATGCAAATAACCCCTATCGCTGCAACTAACGGCGCACATCACCGGAAATTGCGTTACAACAGGCATCCCGAATTTGTGCGGGGCAGCTACATTTGAGGATACATGGTAAGTACAGCCGTTCCCAAAAAGTGAATCGAATAGTCGCACACAAAGGCCTGACATGATGTCACCAATCATTAGCATCAAATCGATGCATGACAAGGCAGAGCCGCTCCAAAGAGGGAATCGAGTTGTCATCCTTGCAGCTCAACAAGAAATCCGAAACGCTTACGCGTCTTGTTCTTATATTGATACCGGGGTCGAAATGTAACAAGACACCTGTGTGGAATTCAAGTTATGCCGTACAGCTAAGATGCATGTGTCCGGCGGCAAGACTTTAAAAAGCATGCCTGTGCCCCCGCCCCCTCCCCTGGCGCACGCAAACTGGACCCTTTGAGCATGTAAGCTTACAAGGGAAGGACATGCAAACGTGAGCAAAATATTGAAAACTTAATATTAGTCACATCCATACAGATCACATTTCGCGAAGGTAAATGGCCACTTCGCTGCTACCTTACCCGTGACATTGTCTGTACCCAATACGACACACGCATCTGTCTGACATGTACAAACTTGGCGCACAAGGTTTCGATCAACCGTCTGAAAACGTAGCTAAGATGGCTATACCACACCAAGTTCAGAGCTCAGATTCCACGGCCCGTCAACAACGATGCGAATGGAGGCCAAATTACACCTATACTTGCACTCCGTTCCTCCTGTATCCGCGTATCGCCCGTAGCCGGCGGCGCATGCTGCGCAGCCTGACCGGGCGACCTACCTTCCAGGGGTCGAGCCGGCGCCGCATCATGTCCAGCTCAGCGCGGTACTTGTGCTGGTTCTCGTGCGTGAACTCGCCCTGGCGCAGCCTCTCCTGCCACTGGTGACACGCGCGCGCCAGAAACTCGTTGTTCAGGCTCGCGCCGCCCAGTCTGCGGGCAGGAACGAGCGAAGTTACGTACTGGTAATTGTTGGTGAGTTAGTTCACGTGATTCTACGAATCGTACTCGTACCTGGAGCAGCGTGTCCAGACCTGTCGGTCGATGCTTCAACAGCTTGGGCTCAAATGATACGATAACTATATTATCTGGGATGACAGTTGATGCTTGGGATCACAGTTGGACAGGATCGATAACTTTACCTGCGAAACTCCATGGGCACAAAACGAGCATACGGGTCAATTCTATTTCAACAGCAATTTCATCCACGAAACCCTATTGGCAAATCCCGAATACATCCACCTTCTCCATTTCTAAGTTTGTACATATCACAGTGCAATGTCTTTGGAACAGGACCCACGGTCCAGTTATAGCCCTCCCCCCCCTCGCCCCCCCCCCCCCCCGAGGCCTAGTCGCAGACGCCATTGGATCGGACGCGGCAGAAGTGACTGTCGACCCAAAGCGTTCTTAGCACGGACGTCACACTTCAAGCGACAAGTTCCCGGATCCAAGCGCGATTGCACCAGAGTATTGTAAAGCCCCTCTGGTTGGAAAAGCTCCGGCTATTGGTAGATTTCGCCGGTTCGTGCACCGCCTAGTGCATGTAAAACGTCCAGCAGCGACAAATTGCGTCCGCTGCTAGGACCAGCCGTCCAAAACACCGGAAGAGTTTGTCGGCCTGAGCCGGCCCAACGGCGCCCGTGTCGGACCCCGCCCCAGCCGGGCGCCTCAGAGCCGGCCCAACGACGCCCGTGTCGGACCCTGCCCCGGCCCGTCTCCGACCACAGGCCGCAGACGAGGCTCACTTCATGGTGCCGTCCGAGCCGCTGGGGCCGTCGGCGTCGGGCAGCATCCTGGCCAGCTGCAGCTGGTACAGCGACGGCAGCCGGCAGAACGCCGACCGGCTCAGCAGCGACTTCACCTGCGGGCGGCGCGGGCGGCCGGTGAGCCGTGCGTACACAGACCCGCGCCCAAGCGTGGAAGATCGCACCGCAGACACAGACGAAGTCACGACGACACATTGTCCGCGCGTTCCCCACTGAACACTGCTATCCAGCACGCAAGTCGTACCGTGGCAATATTGTTAACCAACTATCTCGCACTTCACTATTTCGTTTTTTCTGCGATGCTGCAGAGGTTCTCATCCATTACACATTCTCCATATGTCCAATCACAAATCTCCCTATACAAACCACATATCCTCGCCTACCCAACGAGCACCATGCATCTTCGCCTAACCACAAGCAGATAATGCCAACTACCACGAGTAGAAAACTGCGAGGTGGTCTCGGCGCCGGCCGGCGTGCGGATCACCAGCGGCTTGCCGCCGGCCGCTGACCGAGATAACAAACAGTTGAGCCGAAGCAAGCCCTGCCTGCCAGCGCTGTCGCCCGCCGTCTCCATCACTCCCTGCTGCGCGCAGCGCTGTCCGTGACGCCGGCGCCGCCTGACCTGGACTCGGGTGAGGATGCTGTCGGGCGTTTCCAGATCGATGACCCCCTCCTGGGTCTGCTTGAGCTGGGCGGCGTTGGAGAGTTTGCGGGCACGGCGCGGCCGCGGCCGGCGGCCCAGCTCGCGCAGGATCTGCTTCATCTTCGAGGTGGTCTCGGCGCCGGCCGGCGTGCGGATCACCAGCGGCTCGCCGCCGGCCGCTGACCGAGATAACAAACAGTTGAGCCGAAGCAACCAGAGCCGGCTAGTGCCGGTGAGCATGCGGTAGTGCATGAACAGCAGCCTGCGTCTCGTCAAATGCTGTTACGCGCTGCACCGGGAATCATGATGTCAGTATTTCCTGGCACGTGATATTACAACTAAAAGTGGTACCTTTTGCACACTTAACCATGTCAACGCTTCCCAAACGATACTTTCCCACGCCCCTACAAGTAGGCAGACGTTCCCGACAGCAAATAACCCAAAATGCCATCTGTGCAGTGCTCCATGGGCGTTCCACAATGACCGCGGTTACAGACGGACGCCTACAGAACCTGGTCAACAGCTGCACCAATGCATCAGCGCGGCTCCAAGTGACTCCCTCCCCCGCGGCATTCCTTTCCCTGCGCGCCAGGACCGCCGCCAGCGCAGCACCAAGTGACTCCCTCCCCGCAGCACTCCTTTCCCTGCGCGCCAGGACCGCCGCCAGCGCAGCACCAAGTGACTCCCTCCTCCGCGGTACTCCTTTCCCTGCGCGCCAGGACCGCCGCCAGCGCAGCACCAAGTGACTCCCTCCCCCGCGGCACTCCTTTCCCTGCGCGCCAGGACCGCCGCCAGCGCAGCACCAAGTGACTCCCTCCTCCGCGGTACTCCTTTCCCTGCGCGCCAGGACCGCCGCCAGCGCAGCACCAAGTGACTCCCTCCCCCGCGGCACTCCTTTCCCTGCGCGCCAGGACCGCCGCCAGCGCAGCACCAAGTGACTCCCTCCCCCGCGGCACTCCTTTCCCTGCGCGCCAGGACCGCCGCCAGCGCAGCACCAAGTGACTCCCTCCCCCGCGGCACTCCTTTCCCTGCGCGCCAGGACCGCCGCCAGCGCAGCACCACGTGACTCCCTCCTCCGCGGCACTCCTTTCCCTGCGCGCCAGGACCGCCGCCAGCGCAGCACCACGTGACTCCCTCCTCCGCAGCACTCCTTTCCCTGCGCGCCAGGACCGCCGCCAGCGCAGCACCACGTGACTCCCTCCTCCGCAGCACTCCTTTCCCTGCGCGCCAGGACCGCCGCCAGCGCAGCACCAAGTGACTCCCTCCCCCGCGGCACTCCTTCCCCTGCGCGCCAGGACCGCCGCCAGCGCAGCACCAAGTGACTCCCTCCCCCGCGGCACTCCTTCCCCTGCGCGCCAGGACCGCCGCCAGCGCAGCACCAAGTGACTCCCTCCTCCGCGGCACTCCTTTCCCTGCACGCCAGGACTGCGGCTAGGCACATCAACCGGGCTGCTGACTCGCTCCAACCCGCCCGCGCGGTGCGCGCCGCGCCCACGAACTGGTACACCCCTAGCCCTCCCTGTGTTGCATAACCTGCCGTCATCGGCCGCGCGGCCCGGGCAGGCGCCGTACCGGAGTGGGCGGCGGCGGCGGAGGCGGCGGCCGTCGGTGCCATCTGCAGCTGGCGGACGGCGAGCGGCGTCGGGCCGGCTGCCGACGGCGGCGGCGCCTCCTGGCCCGTCACGCGCCGCCGCCGCTTCTCAGGCAAGCGGGGCTCCGTCTCCATCCTGCCGGCCAGACGATCGCATCGGTCAGGTCAATAGGGTCAGACTAACGACATGATGGTGACCAGGAGTGTCAGCAGGCGTTACAGACAGGACCGATAGCCAGAGAAAGTCAGGTCAGGGATCCATTCCAGAATATCATAAGCTTTTCTTGTACAGGGATGCACAGACAAACATATGCTAATGGTGGTGTGGCAAGCTATGCTTCCAGTTACTGGTTCTTTGGGGGTACATTGAAGTGCAATTACATGTAGACAGGGAGAGATGACAATAGATTATCTGGTTCAGGATGGGGACGAAGCTGGCTTTGGATTCGCCTTCGGTTTCGCGAGCCACAGTTTTCTTCCCATGCCTTCAGTCTCGGCCTTAGCCTCGTGCCAGTTCCAGCGGTCGACCCTGTGTAAGTGCTGGCTTTGGCATCAGCTTCAGATTAATTTTAAATTGTGACTGCAACTGCAGCTGCATGTGATCTGTTAGCTGTGACTTTGCCATGGTGGTTCTTTTGAGGTGGCTCTAGAAAAAAACTTTACAAAAAAGTCTCACCCATCTTGTCATGCCAATACAACAAAAAGCTTTTAAAGGCTGCTACAAACACAGGGCTGCAAGCCATGTACCAGCAGTCCATCTTCAAAAACAATGAACACAGTACAACAGCTAGAAAATGTTCTGAGACACCACATCCATACTAACACAAAAGAATGGCATGATATTTAGATACAGAATCTTTATCCCTGTTACAAATAGCCCATCTCCAGGCTCCACGAAACCCTGATGATATATCCTGATGCCTCACACTTTGAGCAGATGCAAAAATGTTGTTTAATTCATAACAAAGTTGTCCCACAACTTTGGCCTTGGCTTGAGCCAAATGACAGTAAACTGCTGGGTTCAATTTTAGATTGCACTTTCTGGGCTCAAAACAGCTGATGCTAGCTTTGGCTTCATGGCAAAAAGGTTCAGGCCACTGGCCTTGGAGTCAGTCTCACATTGTAGAAATATGAAGCCACTTGCTCCAGCTTGGAGCACCAAACTTCAAAGCTGCTGGCTTCAGCTTAATATGCTTGTCTTGGCTTCAAGCCTGACTCCACACTAGAAGCCTGGCTTAGTCTCTGTGCCTCATTTGGACAGAGATGCATGCCCATAGACATTCTGTACAGGGAAACCATGGGCACAAGAACACAGGCATGTCCTGTGCTGTGGACACCTTGTATGAGGGATGAAACCTCATTTTCAATGAAAACTTCTGGCCTGGGGGATGGCTTTGACACAAAACTTAGAAGTGACAAAGGCCATGATAGAAGCTGGTTTGCCACAGCTGAAAACACAGCTTTTCTAGCATACCCAATACAATTTATGCATGGCAGATGCCAGTGTTCAGTCCAGAGCTGCAAAGTACTTGTTTGTCTTGAAGCCAGCCACTGTACCACAACATGGCCTAAGTGGTATGGTAAAAACATTGTCAGTAGTAGATGAATAACCAATAGGTGCAGGTCAAGAGCTGAATAAGTTTCATAATTCATCAAATATGCATGTAGAGTGTAAATTCAACCATTATTGGTCTAAACCACTTTCTGGGCACCCAACTGTCATGCCTTATGGACACAGCAATGTGTCATTTATAGCATAGCACAAGATGTATCATTACATGCATTACAAGTTGCTCACATGCCAAGGCCATGTGAAGTATTGTGAAAAAATATTAAAAAGTGTGTCACTTAGGATCTCATTTTGTTATATGCTCAGTTGGCAACCACAACAGGCCAGCCTATCAGTAGTGTAGTGCAAAATATATGATAACCATCCTGTGGGGGCTAATATGTGATAGCCATGACTTATGAGATAATTAAAAGAAGGCAAAGAATTATATTTTTCATCTGTCTGACACCAACAATTTGCTTACATGGTATTTATATTTATACTTGGTGCAGAGATGCTGCACAAACAGAAATGTTTAATACCAGGTTACTGGTCTGAGCATGCTCTATTTATTGCTCAGCACAGTCTTGATGCATTTCAAAGTACTACTGATGCAGTTCTCTCAGATGGTGACTGCCAAGTGCTAGTAAGCTATAAATGTAAATTCACATGAAATGCAGTTTACCAATAATCATGACCTCTCTCAACAGAATACTAATCCTATAATGGTCAGTGATAGGGTTGGTCCACCTCACCTATGTTACATAAGTTGAACACAGTAACTACCCATTCCATGTTATCACTTTCACAAACAGGAAACATCTCAAAATATGCTCATGAACAAAAGATCATGACTATATTAGCACACCATACTGTGAGCACCAGTCCTCTACTTTGGTGATATTATGATGTTTCCACTTCTGCTCTCAATTCTTATGTCATAAATAACACACTGAAAAATAAAAAGGCAACATACAGCAATGCAGTGGCCTCATCCTGGAACATATAACAGCATGCCTAGCTCTCTATACTAGTATCTAAGGTGACTGCATTACAGGTGCTGTACATCCTCATTTGATAACATATAATTTTTTTCAATAGTTTAACACTAATGTACTAGTGGTTTTGAAGGATCAAGGATGGGCATTCAAATAGTCTGTGCTAAGGTAAAAAGAAATAGTTTATTTCCTTTTATTCTATGGTTGTCATGGCTATGTATGCCAGTCAATGGTCATCACAGGAATAACTCTAGAACTTGCTGCAGGCCTGACAGGACCCAAATACCATGACCTCAGTGACTGTCACAGCTCTGAAGCTCAATAACAGAGCAATCTGTCATAAAGCAATCACATACTTGTGACATAATAGGCATTGATTTCATTGCTGACAGACTAAGTGCTAGAAGCCTTTCAAAATTTGCAAAGAAAAGTGTGCATCTTCCTTAAGCACCAACTTAGCTTTGAGCACTCTTTGAAAAAGGATCCACCTCAAGGGTAGAGGCTACCAGTCAGTTCACATATCCCCACAACTTGGGCTCACCAAAACAATTGACTACATGGAATACACTTCATAACTCAGACTTAGCATATTTTTAACTCACAAATTCACCATAGCAGCTTGAAATGGGCTTAGGAAAGTTCATAGGTTTCTGAGGAGGTGCTATGTACATGGCCAAGCAAAATAACCAGACCAAGACCTGAACTCGCATTATTAAGCATAACATTTATCTACAACAGGTAACAAGAATGACAGTACCTTCAAAGCGGTGCAATCCTTAAGTCGTTAGAATCGAACAGCTCATCTTCGAAACTCGCCCAAAAATATAGGCAAGTCACCACGCATATGCGCTTAATAACCGATCTGATGACAATTATGATTCCTTCCAGCCTGATTCCATTTCGAGATATTGGGCAATCTTGCTGAAGAGTAAACTTGTATCAATCCGCTGACGACGACTGAATCACTCATCACATAAAACCATCTAGATTAGCGCCAAAATTCATCCCGTAATGAAAACAACAAAACCTCGCACACGGCTCACGCCATCTTGAATTTCCACGAATGTGTCCGTTGAGCATTGCGTGGTTTGCCAGTAGATGGCAGGACAAAAGGTACGGTGAAGTTTGTTTACGTTTCTAAGACTCGGATTTACTGTAATGTCTTCATATTTTTTACGTTAATGCACCTCAATATTTAAATCTGAAACAGGATTTAGAATCTATTTGAAATTTTTAGAAAAACAACGGGCTATAATCTTATATGGCAGTCCAAGATTTAGACCACGCCAGAAAGGGCCGGCTATCAATATGTATAGGAGACACAAAACCGTACTGAATGCTGTATTGTTTACATTCGCAGCGTGCAAACGCGAATGGTTTGGATGATTTGTGGCTTGGGTTGGGGCCACCCGTCAGGAGCAGCATGTAAGGTAAGATATCGTGGGCAGGGTAGGCGCAAGTGCATACACGAATATTAATGTTTTTTTTAAGGTAAGTACTAAATTGAAATACTTATATGGAGGAACCTGTGGCGTGAATCTGATGCAGCTGGTGCTTGTGCTCTTGCTAAAATTTACAATGAATCACTTCGGGCTGTTTATGCTAGACATATGAGTCTACCTGGTACTTGGATCGCAGATGCTGGTAATGGAATTTCACTTGCCTAAATGGCTACCTCATTTGGCTTAGTTGTCCTAACAAGGATGAAGGAACAATTTTTAATTTCAGAATTTTAAAGTGTTTTGATGAGCATTCATTCAAAATAGGTAGGATTTGGTCAGTTCTGCAGATTGTCTTTGGCAGCCATTCCATCAAAAATCATGTTGCTAAAGATGATGTACTTGAATAATCCTGCAATGAAAGCATCACTCATGTGCTTGTCTCTAATAGGACAGATGCCTGAGCCAGAACTGTGGAATATTGCGGCAAAGGAAACACACCAAAAGCAAAGGTGAACAGGACTGGGAGGGAAAATATAGCAACAATCTGTTCACATCAATTTGGCTTACTAATGATTATTGTGTGCTTACCATTGCTAGTGGAGATTGAATGTTTTACCTCCTATAAATACAAATTTATATATACCTATGTATTCTGGCATACAATTTGAGGATTTTGTGAGAGTAAACAGGCATTTTTGACCATGCACCTATGCAAAATGTTTGTGTTCTTTAGGTTAACTTATTAAACCACACATAACAGATGTACTATGGCCTTCACAGAAGATCATAAGTTTCTCACTTCTGACCTGGGGATTTTTCATTTTGTCCCAGTCTAGACTTGGAATGCTCAAAATGCAATTAAGTGCAAAACATTTATGCCTAATTCTCCATGTCAGTTTGATACATTACTTAGGATTGGACCTGGATTAGGGCAGGTAGGCAATTTCACATAATTTTGTTGTAGGACCAACATGAGGGCAAGCAGGCAAAGGCTGTCAAATCATTTTGTCAAGAACCTTCAGTGGTTTTAAACAGGTTTTACAGATAACCACTGAAGTTGATTGTTTAGTAGTTTTAGTCATGCTGCAATATTTTGTCATTGCTTTCACTGGAGTTTGCCCTTGATGTGATCATATTTTTCCACACTTTTCAGAGCATGATTAGGATAAAATGTGGCTATGGGCCATTACCAAACAAATTGAGTAGATTGATTTTATTAAGTAATTGATTTCAAACATGAAAATGCCAACATGAGGCTGAAAACCTATTTGAATCACTGATTACTTGGGTGCAAGTGCAGTCATATACTGGTTGAGGTTGGTTTGCTTAGTGAGATTTATAGATGCATGGTTCATTTTATATTACTAAAAGAGGTTAAGAAATACTAGCATTAAGCTGGTAGAGGAAAGGAACTTTTGTAGAAGCCATGTTCATCATTTTCCCTTGTGTTTGAATGCTGATAAGGTGTGCTTATTATGGCCATACAGGGTTAAAAACCCTAAATAGTTATCAAACTTCAGCAGTGATTACTGTATGGCAGCATCAAGGTACTTAACAAGTGGCATGTGACATCAAGGCACTACAGCTGGTGACCATGCATACATTAGAGCGTAATGCCAGGCCTTGGGGCACTGATGGTTCAATGACTAACCTGCACATCTGGTAAACTAGGGACAAGGGCTGGAGTCTTTGTTTCTCCCAATACCTGACCTTCTTGCTGGGGCAAGAGGCAGATGATGCCATGTAGCTTTGGCTGCTATGTGTGTGTGTACGTGGTGAAACTGCAGTCACAAAACTATGGACTTGGTAAAGCAGGTGACATTTGAGAATGATGTTGATCAGTGCTGGTTGTTAATTTCAAGCACCCTTGGTCCTGCAATATGTTCTAGTCAGCAACATGACAATCACTGGAAGTTGGCAGAGTGAAAGACATGGTGATCATCTCACGCTGTGACCTGCTAGCCCTGGCCGCGTGCTGGTGTGCGCGTGCCGGTCGGCGCTGGCAGCCGTCGAGCGCCCCGCGGCCGCGCCGGTCGATACCGCCGTGCGGCGGGAGCAGCTGGGCCGGCGAGATCGGCGTCATTCGGCGGCGGGCTGGGCTGTGACCGGTCGGGCGGCGGGCTGGGCTCTCCCCCTCGGGCAGCCACGCGCGGCCGCGCTACGCGACGCCCCGCTCCAACCGGCGTTCACTGTGCCGCACACGTTCCGTACTGGTCGCTGTGGGGCGAGGGTTGGTCGGTCCGTGCTTCGGTTCGTCTGAGGTGGCCGGCTCGGGCCCCTGGTGTCCGCTGCTGCGCACGGAAAACGTGCCCTGGACATGCCCCAACGGAGGTAGGGCACAGGTGACCCCGCTGCGACCCCGACTCAGCCAGGCTCCGTCACTGTGTCCCGGCACCACACAGGTGTTGGTGTTTATCCGATGCTCACTTAGTTATCAATTTAGGCCTGATCATGGATTCTGCACTGTCTTAGGAAATGCGCGCGAGCCATGCTACTAGGCCATGTTTTGGCATTCATGTCGCTCTCCCAAATGTCAAACACATGTTCCTTGCCAATATTCTGCCTCGTGCCATTGTGTTCTGCCCCCTCCATTAGCGCGCTGAGGTCTGTGGGGTCGCGAACCACACTTCCGTTGCTAAATTGCAGAAAGTGCGTAACTTGGCAGCTGGAGTGATCTCCGGACGACGTAAATTTGGATCATGTGGTAGATGCCCGGCGACCGCTTGGCAGGCATGGTGCCCCGAAGTTCCCTTCTTAATAAAAAAGGAACGCGACGCACGTCGTCGCGCCCGTTTTATGAAGTGCTGGCGACTGCATTGGTCATGTTAGCGCTCAGAGACCGTGGGGTAACCGGAACCCGCGCGTTCCTCGCGTGGGAGTCCGACGCGCTAGCCACTCTGTCATTACGCCCCTGCCCAAAAGATTATTGACTCCTTCGATAACTGTCTTGAACAAAGTAAGTTTATTGACCTATAGACAGATGCCTTCTAAACGAAATATGGACCAACGAGGGGCCAAAGAATACGCTCTTGGTTCTCCTGCAACTATGGAAACACTTAGCGTAATACGCGGCGATACAGCCATTTATCTCTTTCCCGCCCAACGAACAGCCGTAGGAAGCGAGCATGTGGTTACCGAACTGTGCATATGCACAAGGAGCGTGTCATCAGCAACGACATTGTGGACCGGCCTTTCTCGACTTTTTCAAGAGTCTTTCAAGGGCCCATTCACGAGATGATTTTAAGTATCTGACGTTTTTAGCCTCTTGTTAAGGTATATTGCGCAGACAGCCGGTCCGTTTTGTGTCGCCCGTCGGCCTGTCCCGCCGGTTCGTCCGTCGCGTCGCGTCGCGTCGCGTCGCGTCGCGTCGCGTCGCGTCCCGTCCGGTCCCGTCCCGTCCCGTCCCGTCCCGTCCCGTCCCGTGCGTCGCGTTGCGTCGCGTCGCGTCGTGTTGCGTTGCGTCGCGTCGTGCCCCGTCGCCTTGCGTCGCGTCCCGTCGCGTCCCTGTCCCCGTCTCCGTCCTGTCGGCCGGATGACCGAGTGTGCCGCGCGCTCGCAGGCTGGCCACGCGCCATGTGTGACACGATGGACCGGTACGTGACGCTCAGCCAGCTGGGCGATGGCACCTACGGCTCGGTGGTGCTCGGAGAGCGGGTCGACACCGGCGAGAAGGTGGCCATCAAACGGTACGTGCGGCCTGACCTGCCCAGCCGGTCAGCTGGTGACCGGGCGACGGAACTGCCGCTGCTGCCGGCTGGGACCGTGCGGCGGCCATTTTCCGATTTGCCCCTATGTCTTCCTGCCTCCTTTTTTGCTCCTCGTGCTCTCCCTGACATCTTTTCTATCTCCTGCATTTTACCTCCCCCTTTCCACATGACTCTTTGTGTTATCTGTTCTTTTGCACTGTTCAGTTTCTCTGGCAGGTTCGCTGGCATGCTTGAAGCCGCACCTCTTTGTCAGTGCGTGGCGTAGGCGATTAACTCGGCCATGAGCGTAGATCAATGCAATACGGGTTTCTGACGGTACAGTGCACCCTGGTGCAAAACTACGATATGATTCATCAAGCGCACGTGCATTATTAAATCGCGGCGGGGACCCTCTACAACACTTCCGCCTCGCGAATGCCACGTAATCGACCAGTTTCCATGGAGCGTCGTGCGCGGGCGAGCCACAATAGCTTGTCATTGCGTGTCCAGCCAGTCGCTGTAATGAACAATTGGTGTGCTCTTCCCTGTACGGAATCGTGCCGGTTTTGTTGTTGATTAGTCCGCACAGTCGGCTTTGAAGCAGCTTGGTTGGGGCGCTTAACTTACCGCTGTGCCGTCCGCCAGCCTGGCGGCCGGTGCTGTCCGGCCGGGGAGACCCTCCCAAAAGTGTGGCCAGCGGCGGAGCCGCACGGCCGAGCTGCGCCCATCGACCGGCGCCGGCCGATCGCACGCGTGGAGAGCTGTTTTTCAGCGCGCCGCGCCGCCTGGCCACGGCCTGATGACGGGGTGTAGCTGGCGCGTGTCGACCGCGGCGCCACCGTAATCCATAACGGAGAGGGATGGCCCAGCCCTGGCTGCGGGAACGGGAGGGGAGGGGGATTACTGCGCGTCCAGCCAAGTAGTAACCAGTCTGGACTGCAGTGTCGGAAGTCTCAGTATGTTTCGTAGTCAATGGGGTTTGTTGGCACGTGAGATGAACGGAGCGTCGTGCCGTCTCCACTGATCCATCAAGTAGCCTCGCGTGACGTCACGGCTCCTGTGCTCGCGGCGGGCGTGTTAGTTCCCCATTTGTCATTGATTTGTAAGTCACAATGGCGTCAACAGAATGAAGTGTACTGTAAGTGTAAGGCCAATCCAAGAGACTTGTTCTGGATGACTTTCGTGGATTCAAGGACTGTCGCTACCCCAGTTATTTGTCAATAAAACTGTTTGAGGAAGTTTTCCGAGCAGAAGCTGTACTATGTCCTTTCATCGTCTCAAGGCACCCCATACACGAAATATTGAGCTAGCTCTTTCTGGATGGCATCGAGTACAGTACCGATCCCAGTGATGTTAGCTAACAGAGCTGGTGTGTTTAATATATGTCCAAATGCATCTAAAACTCAGTAGAGCACATTAGCTCGATTGTCGGCCGTTTCTGTTTGCGGTGCTCGGTGACCACCGTCGGGCTCGGTCTCCCGTCTGAGCCGGGCCGCCAGTGGCTGCCTGCTCCGCCCTGTGACTGTGGTCTGCAGTTGCAGGTGCGCACTCGGTGTGGTATTGCACAGCACCATGCACCAGTGGGGGGAGCACCGCCGAGCGGCGGCCGGTCAGCGGCGGCACGCTTCCCAGCACCGCTCCCTGTCTCGCCGCCCGCCTGGCGCAGCGGGTCGACCGCACTTGCTTGCACGGGTCGGGGCGCGGCGGCTGACGCTGGGCGCTGCCGCCAGCCACGGCCGGCGCTCCCTCCAGAGCCTGGTTCACATGTCCGGTCCCCGGCGTCCGCCCGGCTCCTGTCCCGCCTGTCCCGGCTCCTGTCGCCTGCCCCGCACTAACCCCCCCCCCCCCCCCCCCCCCGGCCAGTGGCCGTCACAGCCGGCCGCTGACCATCCGCCTTCATGCGGCTGTCTGTCACCTTCCGCCAGCTTCCTACCGACCGTCTTGACCGTCGTCAGCTCCCTCTGACCGTCCTGTCGGCTGACAGTCCCACCTAGCCTGCCGTCCGCTCCCCGTGACCGTGCCGGCCGCCGGCAGCGGGCTGTGAGCGCTGAGGCCCGTCTTGCTGCTCCTCGCCGCCGCTCGATGAGCACGCTCCCACCGCTCGGTCAGGAGGTGGGCATGCACCGCTACACGGTCCTCAAAGTGCTGGGCGACGGCACCTACGGAGACGTCAGCCTCGGCCTCAACAAGGAGACCGGCGAGAAGGTGGCCATCAAAAGGTGCGCCGACCCCGGGCGCTCCGGCGGGGCAACATTCCGTGATGACGATTAGACAGGGGTGCCTCGAGAATGGTGGCGGTGCCAGGTGCATGGATCGGCACCGAGCAGCCCTGCTTTGTTAATGGCGCATGCACGCACGCTGGGTATTATGTCGTCTTTCAGTTTTGAGTTTGCTTGTCTCCCATAAGAACGCAAAACACGCGCTGTTTAATTGTTGTCTGTAAGCTGCTGGATTCCCGACCCTACGCCTTTAGTACGCCTTGTCTTCATTACGCTGGTGAGCTATTATTTGCAGCAGCGCATCGGGGGATAAAACAGCATTTCTTCGTCATTATTTATGATTCGTCATGATTCTTCGTCGGCTTTGTTTAAATCATGAAAAAGTCGAACGCAGCCGCACGGCTCGTGGTCCAGTGAAATTTCTAATTGCTGAGTTGTCATGTTTTCCCGCAGGATGAAGCGGAAGTACACGTCATGGGAGGAAGCAATGAACCTCCGTGAGGTCAAGGTAAGCCAAGTTGTGCTGGGGAGCTTAGGCAATGACCATCTGCCCTTCCATTCGTCCAGTTATCCATGGTGTTGTCATCACTAACATTGAATGATGAATATCGCGTTATTTTAGCACTTATATTACACATCTATATCACACGCATCATAATACCTTTTGTATGTGCTATTGAATGCAGGTGACTCAGTTTCGCATTGCGGTTTTGCGTTTCATTGTCGCGGGCCTGCATCCCTAGACCTGTGTGTGTCATTGAGTGTGTACGTGAAAGCGAGATATTGGTGAACAACTGTAACGTCATGCACTATGGAGCCGGGGACGGCGTCCGTCCGTGGGCTGTTTGGCTGGTTGCCATGGGGACGGTGAGCCCGCGGTGCGGTATTCTGCGGGGAAGTATGCTGTCGTCTGATGAGACGACGGGGCATCTGATCGTCTTACCGCGCCAGAGACGGTCGATAGAACCACAGACCAAGAGGGCAGGGGGGAGTGCGGAACGGAGCAGAGCAGGTATGGCCCGCGGAACTGCCGAACTTTTCAATTGCAGATGCATCTGGAACTCTGTGGGAGACAGGTACCGCTGTCGGAGGTGGCGGTACTGAGTGTTAGTGGTCGTGGTTGTGGATGTGGGCGAGCTCCCGCCCCGGTAATTTGAGCCGACTCAAGGCGCTCCGTACCCATTTGTGTGCAAACCTGTCTAATTGGCTGTCATCACGTTACCCGCTGTTAGTAGACTGCATTTTAAAGCCAGGCGACCGAAAAAATTGCTTAGGAGAGGTGTTGTCGTAGCGCGTGGGTGAGACGCCCCAATGTCCGAATCGTCACCACTTTGTCGTCAAACCCAGTTGAACTTCGGCAGCATGTTAAAAGAACGTCCACTGGGCGGTGTGCACTTGATGTGTTCTTTTTCACTCAGTGCCTACGCGGGAAAAACCGGCACGTAAGCGTTTGCATGTTTGTGTTTCAGTCTTTGAAGAAGCTGAGTCACGCGAATGTCGTGAAGCTGAAGGAGGTCATTCGAGAGAACGACACGCTGTACTTTGTGTTCGAGTATATGAAGGAAAACCTGTACCAACTGATGAAGGAAAGGTGAGAAGGCCGTGACTGTTTTTGAACGGCTTCTGATAAATATAATTGGCGTTCACACTTTTCATGTGAGGGCTGCAACTGCGTGCGTCCTAATTGTTGTCATACCCGCATTCTGTTCAGGGAAAACTTCTTCCACGGGTCGGACGGCTGGACCTTGCCCGGTCCGCCAGGGCTGTTGGAAACTGGCCTTACCAAGGGCTGTCTGTAGCTGACCTTGCTAAGGGTTTTTTGTAGCTGGCTTGTATGCGCTTAACTCCCGCTCCAATGGGGTGGTCTCAACCAAAGAGTGGTCATTATTTATGACTTAGAACTTGACAAAAAGTCTGATTTCCACAAAAATAGTTCAGTCGGAAGGAGTGCTAAACAGCAAGGGATATCCGTATTCTCACATATTTTGCCGATTGGCACCGTTTCTCTTATAAAGATAATTATCGGCGTTTATATCTCCCCAAGTCATAAGGATGGGTAGGAACCATTACATGTTTTGACGCGTTTGACGCAAAGAACGCGCTGTAGTCCTAATGTCTAATTTTTACGTAAGTTGTTCAGTGCGTTAGCGGGAAACATCAGTCACGTAGATAAAGCAGTAGTAATTGTCTTATTCCTCGGAGAAAAACCAGGAGAATGGAGATATAGATGTGTTGATATTTCGGTGACATGCCTTTATCGAAACAATAGCAGAATTGAATTCCATGGCAATTGCCTTTATCGAAAAAACTCAGATTGATGATGAGTTGATGAAAGGATGAAAAGACGAATTCCCAATTCTGGGAATTCACTTCTGCTATTGTTCCGATGAAAACATGTTGCCGTAGTATCAACCCATGTACATCTCCACTCTCCTGTTTTTTCTCCGGGGAATAAGGCCATTACTACTGCGTTATCTATTTGCCTAGTTTTTACCACAGGCTCTGTCAACGTTTCGCATTGTTTAGAGCATCCCAGCTCACGATATGGCCCGGGATGAGTTCCGATGTCTTACCATGCATATCACAGATACGCTTGTATTAACGTGACAAAACGGTGGTGACGAACCCCTGCTTTGGATTGCAGCCAGCAAAGGGCGCGCGCTGGAAAGAGGTACGTTGCTTCTGTGGACTAACACGTTGCATTGGTGCGGTCCGAGTTTCTGCTGTGTGCATGTGACCGGTGAAAACGAACAGATGACGTTCTTGCAGACTGGTGATGTCGGCTCCAGTTGGTCAGGTTTCAACTCCATTCACTCAAAGACAGTTATAACCTGGATCGCCCCGCCACACACATGTTTTATGTACTATAACATCACGTGCGCAATCACGCACGCAATCACGCACTCGCACGCACCCACACGCAAGCGCACGCACGCGCACATGCACGCGGGTACACACGCACACGCACGCACGCAGGCAGACACAGGCAAGGCTGTCCACGGTGATCTCCACGATGGCAGTAGCCAACCAACGCCTGGGTGGGTTGTGAAACTCAGACTGACGCCGTGCAGTGGACTGCTTGGGCATCAAAGAAATAGGCAATTAAGAGATATCTGTAGGTACAAAGGTGCATGCCATTTAAAAAGGACGATGCTTCGTAAAGTCTGACCAATTTGCCCAGAATAGCCGAGTTTAGTTACGGCGAGCCGTGATTTTTTTGCTGTCGTTCTTGCTTGAAAAACGGAATTCTGGCGGGGTGTCTGCTCCCTGCATACTCGACAAATCCCAAAGACGAGACGTGTTGGGCTACGAGTCCTCTAGGTAATCTCAGTGCCCATCGTTTCGAGGGCAGTGCCCATGGATGCTCACCATAGTCTTGGTCGTGACGGGCCCTGAAATGGTAATGCGTGAGCGTATTACCCCTGGTTCCAGACGACGGCCCTGATGTGATACTGGAACGGCAACGATAAGCCATGTATCAGTGAGATTCCGTCTACCCTGTCGGGCTGCGGACCGTTCTGCGCACGCTGCTCTTATCTGATGTCTCTGGCCGGCGCGACGCCCCCCGGCCTCTGTCCCCTGGCTCCGGGCCTTCCTGGCCCTCTGTCCCCCGGCACCGCGCCCTCTGGTCCTCTGTCCCCCGGCGCCGCGCCCCCTGGCCCTTGCTGCGCCGCGTCTGGCGGCTGCCGGCTCCGCTGCGGCCAGGGCGTCGGCGCGGCCGCACTGCGGCGGGGTCACGCTGGCTGAGACCTAACAGGTCTGACCCCTGACCTGAGGCGCCGGCCTCTGGCCCGATGACCCGACCCCTGGCCTGATGTGTGACGTTAGGTCCGAGCCCTTGGTCGGAGTATCTGCCTTCTGACGTGCGGACCAGACCCCTGGCCTGAGGCCTGGCCCTTGACCTCTGACCTGACCCGTGACCTAACGACCTGATGCGCACGAGAGGGCGTGATCAGCCTGTATTGTGTCGTCTCCCGGGCCAGTCCTGAAGACCTTACGCCAGGCCACGTGAGGGGTGCGCAGCCCCGCCCAGCACCGGCTTCAGACGTTGGGCTGGACGTCGTGGCCAGCGGCCGTTCGATGTGGGCGCGTGACGGAGGTGGCGGTGGGTCGATGACTGACCTTCACCGAGCCGCGGCGAGACCTCGCCGGCTGGTCCCGACCCAAGGCGCCGCCGCCGCCGCCGCCGCCGCCGCATGGCAACCCCGGCTCAGCCTACGGACACCCGTTATTGGATGCGGCTCAGTTGGCGGCACCCGACGGAGATCGGGAAGAGCGCGCATATCACAGCGACGTCATCGCATGACATCACAACTAGCCCCTGGTGACGAGCTCCCAGTGCGTTTTTAGAAGGCACACATCGGAGCCGGTGGCACACTGGCGAAACACAGGAAGCGCGATAGCTTGGTGGGGTTGGGAGGCTTGCCAGCGCGAACAGCCGCCGTTTCGCGGCGCTCCTCTCTGGTTACACTCCGCGCGTGGTTATGGCGTGTGTTTTGCATACCCTGTGACATGACAACGTGAGTGCGCACGGTACCCGTACGCACGCACGCAGGTACGCACGGTGCCCGCCAGGTACGCACGATATCCGTCAGGTAGGCACGGTACCCGCACGCACGGTAGGTAGGCACGTACGCCGTACGCCGTGCCCACCCGCCAGGTACGCCCGGTACCCGCCAGGTACGCGCAGTACCCGCCAGGTATGCCCAGCACCCGCCAGGTACGCCCGGTGCCCGCCAGGTACGCCCAGCACCCGCCAGGTACACCCGGTGCCCGCCAGGTACGCGCAGTACCCACCATGCTGGCGGGCTGCAGTTTCCAGTATGTGGCTGTAACTGCTGACCGATGCGTCCTGCTTTCGCAGGGACAAGGTGCTCTCGGAGCCGGTTATACGCAACATCATGTACCAGGTGCTGCAGGGCGTGGCATTCATGCACAAGCACGGCTTTTTCCACCGGGACATGAAGGTGAGAGAGGTGGTGTGAGAGGCGTGGGTGCTCGTGGTGTGCCCCTGGCCCCGCGCATAGCTGCCAGTCCGGATCGGGTCTCGGTCGTTGTTGGGCTGTTTATTGATGCACGCAGTTGTAATAGTGGAGTTTGTGGGCATCAGTAGTCGAAGGAGCAAGTGTTATGGTTTGGGCATCGCCACACTCTGGTGGGGATCGGAAAATCCCTCACCCCGATGGGGCTGCATGATCAACCCCGGCTCACACTAGCAATGAACCAGGCAGGGCAAAAGTAAACACTCAGTCACGAACTCGTATACCTGGCCAACGCTCGGCAGCCTGTGGGGATGGTGCTTGGTCCAGGTTGCAGTTCTTACCCAGCACGAGTTTACGTCCTTCTTGCGCTATTTTGCGACGGACTCCACTGCCGGACAGCTGCCATTGGCGCGCGCCACAGGCTCCCGTGCCGGCTGTATCAGAATAAAGAAGACAGTACTAATAGCAATGTGTGTTACAGAGACCTGAAGTGCACGAAAGTCTTCCCCTCGGACGGGGACATAATGGCCGAGTGGCTAGCACACTGGATGCGCGCGTAGGGGTACCGGGTTCAAACCCGGTTGTGCTAAGACCCCTGCGTGCTAATATGGCCAATGTCTTGTCGATAAAGGCGTGTAGCCGTAATATCAATGCATCTATCTCTCCATTCTCCTGATTATTGTACGAGGAATAAGGCTGTGGTGCCGTCTTATTTATATGCACAGTGTTCCTAGCAAATGTACTTCACAACTGATGTATCAGAACAATCGGAAACACGGTTCGGTATCAGCCTTACATCCACATCACTGCGTCGCAGGTCAGATGCCACCGCCGATCTGCGGTGCCCTCTGGGTCTAGTCCGTGGCCTTGCCTCTCGCTGACACTGCCGTCCCAGCCCTCGAGCAGGACCGGAACACGTGGAACACGCAGCGGAGCCGCCTGAGCCCGAGCGCTGACCTTGCGCTGACCTCCGCAGCCGGAGAACCTGCTCTGTATGGGTCCCGACCTGATCAAGATCGCCGACTTCGGGCTGGCGCGAGAGATCCGCTCCCGGCCGCCCTACACGGACTACGTCTCCACGCGGTGGTGAGCAGCAGCCCATCTCCCCCTCGGATGGGGAGTAATGGCTGAGTGGTTAGCTTCCTGGATTCGCACGTAGGGGTCCCGGGTTCGAATTCCGGTTGTGCCATGGCGCCTGGGTGATAATATGATCAATGCAGTCGCTGGCGCTTCATAAAAGGGACGTGACGACGTGCGTTGCGTTCTCTCTCTATATAAAAACACACAGGTGGCGCATCCGTGCGGGGTGGACGGCCTTGGGTGGGGTATGCTGGGTGCATCTCCACAAGGTGGTAAGCTTTCCTAATTCGGCTCCATGCTGGTAAGGCTGGTGGGGTGGCTCGCTACCCGCTACGTTCGCTACGTCCGCTCGTGGCGGTCGGTGCTCGTTCGTGATGAACGCTCATTACGGTCCATGCCGCGTTCGCCGACCTCAGTTCTGAGCGGCGGCCAGGCGGCCGCTCGACGGAGCCATGGTGTGTGAAAGGCGTGAAACCGCCGGACTCTAGAGTATTTCTCGCCACGCGGGGCAGTGGCCACATCGCCAGATCACATCTATGTGGTTTCCAGGCGTCCAGATACTGGTGGCTCACTGCTGCCACAGTATGTTCACCCTAAGTCCCTTTCGTCACCGGTCAGATCTGGCAGGGAATGTGCATAAACCACTCCATACGGTACGATGCGTACGATACGGCGCGATAGCGTCCTGTGGCTGAGTGGGGGTCACCGGACGGAGTCACCGCCACCTGTTGGGTCGGAGGTTGTGTGTCGACGGCCGTACTCGTCATGCCGCTGCCACGAACGACGGTACACACTCTACGTGGCATTAAGTCGGTGGCGCAGTCTTTAGAAAGCGGGTGAGCGTGGCCGTGCACCATGCCAAACGTATGCACGCGAGTTCCGAACTCGTCCGGTGGTCTGCCGCCCCCGCGCAATTTTTGATGTCGGATAAGCGCGCGGCTAATCAATGGCGCCGCGGCCCTATTGATCAGCGGGGCCGATGCGGGCCGTTTTCCGGCGGCGGTTCAAGGTCGACGCCTGGTGCCGTGACGGTGCCAGCCCGGTTATGCCGGCACGGGTGGGGCGGCCGCCGGGGGTGGGCCGGCCGCCGCACGCCACGGCCTCCAGCCGACTCGCACACACACACACACACAGGGGGCCGGGCCGGCGGCGCGCCCCAGCGGCCGCGGCGGCGGCCGGCCGGCCGGCCCTGCCGAAGACTTACGGCCGGGATCTAGCACGGCTGTATGTCGGCCAGACACGGGTGACCGAGTCCGGCTTTGCGATGGAATTCGTGTGACCCGGTTTAGTGTTTCACACGCGTGGCTTGTTCAGGGTGCCACCGAAATAGGTCATTTACTCGCGTGTGGCACGTTTACACATCAGATGCAAAAATGTGGGCGGGGGCGAAGAGTTTTTGGGGCCGGGTTGCTTTGAGTACAGGAAGCATCAAAATGTGCAGACAAATGACCTGTCTGTTAATGCACGAGATCTGTTAAATGTGCTTTAAATGCACTTGGACGCACTTTAAACCACAATACGGGACTCGCAGAGACGGCTGTGATCACGACTGGCCCCAGCCAATTTGCCCGGGCGCTGGTGAGTGGCGCGAGCCGCAGTTGACCGCCGGTCCGTGGCGAGCCGCTGGCCGAGTAGTCGTGACGCCCCGGAACCCACCCATCCCACCTCACGGTGGCGCCCGATAACGCGGCCGTACACTGGCCGACGCAGAACGGCTTAGCGCCACGGCACAGTAACAGCCTTCATGGCCTCAATAGCCGGCAGCATACAGAGCATGTCAAGCTGCTCCGGCACGCTATGGACCTGGGGTTTGAATCATTGCGGCAGGTATGCCTTGTAGGTACAGCGGCCGATCAACGCATGCTTTGTGACGCTGCGACACAATGCCCGACCGCACCTTGCGCGGGTCTGTTTGCCGCCCTCCGGTAGGTGATTTATGCCCGCACCAGGCCTGAACGCGTGCCTCGCTGTCGTGGCGTGCCTGCGGCGCCGGTCCGTCTGGCGACGCGTTCTCGGCCGTGCTTTGCGCGCTGGCCGCTCCCGGGCCGGCTGTGACACGTGTGATGTTAGCCTGCTGTCGCTGGAGGTGTCCTAGCGCCACAGCACGGCCCGTGTGGAGCTTCGGGGCACGTGGCGCGCCGGCGGACAGCGTGTGTTCGGCAGCGGCCGCTGGGCTGAGGCAACAGCAAGTCTCGCGACACCGCGACTGCCACGTGGGCGCTATATGACCGCGCAGTCGAGGTGCCCTAAAGCCCCAGTTACTACTCCTACCACTACTACGACTACGACGTGTCTCAAGCTTCCGTCCAGACATGGTCTAGACGGGCGCTTGAGGTTGTCTCCCCTCCCCGCTTTCATGTCCGGAAAGGGTGTAATTGGCGGGCGATTGGCGCCCTCGGCTCCCACGTCGGGACAGCTGTTTCAGGTTCCAGCTGCGCCTTGACCCCTGAGTGTCATTGTTACGATTATCCTCGCTGGCGCTCTGTGAAAGGGTGCATGACAATGTAGGCCACCTACCCTTGTTAAGCAATAACGTTGGCCGCCTTGGGACTGTGCTGTGTTTCGTGACCATGATGATGTTCACGTGGCGTGATGACAAGCCCAGTTTAAAGCTGCTTTGCCCAGTAAATGTCCCATGATTAAATCATGTTCCGTGAATAATTCACTACTTTTGCGCCAGTGGGCCGTGATGCAGTGCTTGTAAGTGACGGAGAGCGGTATGACCGTCCAGGTACCGGGCCCCGGAGGTGCTGCTCCGCTCCACCAGCTACAGCAGCCCGATCGACATCTGGGCGGTGGGCTGCATCATGGCCGAGGTGTACACGTACCGGCCGCTCTTCCCGGGCAGCTCCGAGATCGACGAGATCTTCAAGATCTGCTCCGTTTTGGGCACTCCCGATAAGGTGGGCCACCAGCAGCACTCCTCCCCGTGCTGGGCACTCCCGATAAGGTGGACCGCTACCAGCACTCGTCACTCGACCGCTGGTAGCACGTGCGGGGCACGCCCGACAAGTTGGGCCACTGGCAGTACTCGTCCCCGTGCTGGGCACTCCCGACAAGGTGGACTACTGGCAGCACTCGTTGCCGTTGCGCGTCGCGCGGAATCATTCTAATCCGCAGCCCTGACGTCTCGGTACTCCTGACGTCTCGGTACTCCTGACGTCTCGACACTTCTGACGTCTCGACACTCCTGACGTTTCGGTACTCCTGACGTCTCAGTACTCCCGACGACTCGGTACTCCTGACGTCTCGGTACTCCTGACGTCTTGACACTCCTGACGTCTGGACACTCCTGATGATTCGACACTCCTGACGTCTCGGTACTCCTGACGTCTCGACACTCCTGACGTCTTGGTACTCCTGACGTCTCGACACTCCTGACGTCTCGGTACTCCTGACGTCTCGACACTCCTGACGTCTCGGCTCTCCTGATGTTTCGGCTGTCGTACACGCGCTGGTTTTATTTATACTGGGCGGCCGTCATTTGCACCTGACCGCAGCCTTACCCGTGTACGACAACCGATGTGGTAGTGCGTCCGCCTTGACCTCACTGGCCGTAACCGATCGGCAGGGCGGGGGCGCCACGTCGGCTGTCGCTCGCCCGCCGACGCCCCGCTCTGATCCGGACCCGTGCGCCGACAGCGCGACTGGACCGAGGGCTACCAGCTGGCCACCACCATGAACTTCACGTTCCCGCAGTTCAGCCCCACCGCGCTGGAGACCATCATCCCGACGGCCAGCGCCGAGGCCATCACGCTGATCGCCGACATGCTGCGCTGGAACCCCAGCAAGCGGCCAACGGCGCAGCAGGCGCTTAGGTGGGCCGGCGGACGCAGCCGGACTTCGGTCGGCTGCCGAGGGCGTTGTGTGGAAATCACAAACGTAACGTCTGCTCCCCATAGCTCAGTCTCTGAGAGCGCCTGGCCCCCAACATACCCATGGCGGGTGGAGATTCACCGCGCTACACACGCCCACTATTACCTGCTGAATGAGATGACATGTGGCCAGTGGCAGGTCAGATGAGGTCGGAGGGTGGGACCGACTGTGCTGAGCATTGCGGCAGGTCCAACTTCCGTCACAATATTTTACGGTTTAACTGGAATTATATGATTGAATGGTGGGATCAGGACTCACGATAAGCACTGCTTAGCGTGAGCTATGCTCTCCAGAAATCAGTCCGGTCAAAAAGGTGCGGACTAAACATACACGAAAAATGCGGCGAGAGTGAATTCATTCGTGCGAGAACCGGAGTGGGTGGGGGTAGGCGCAAACAATGCGTGCAGCCGGTGTGCTCTAAACGCTTCTGAGCAACAAAGGGGTGGGCTGAGGTTAGAGTACGTGGTGTGCGGTAGGCCGCAGTAAGCAATGGGTCAGCCAGAAGCGTCCCCTCTAAGCAGGACCCAGGAAAAACGCACGTGCGGTGAGTCGAAAGTTGGGGTGAGCCTCGGCCGAAGCATAGTCTGCTTCAAGTCTGCTCACAACAGGGCTCTTAGCTGCACTGGGGGATTGCGCGCCCGCGTCCCTCGAATGCAAACCTGACTTGGTTTGTCGCATCCCTCATCGGAGGCAAACCTCGCAAAAGCGACGACACGAGTTTGGCCGATTCCGCGCTCCACCCCCGGGTCCGAGCATTGACGTCCAGTATGACCAGTCACGGGCGGCGCAGTCCATCGGTGGCGGAGCCCGCCCGATCTCCGGCAGACTGATGGCCGGCCTCGCTCGCCGGTTAATGGCCGATTCGACACGAGTTTGCCATTATCAGCCTGCTTCGAGGCATCATTACATCCAGCGACAACTGGCGCCAATTTGGTCGCAGAATGCCGCGAAACGGTGTCCTTTGCCGTGCCGCGGCGTTTGGCGCGCTCGTTGTGCGTCATCAGCCTCAGGATGCGATGCGACACGCAGAGGGTCATTTGATGTGATCAGTCACGCAGCGGGCTTTACGCAGAGGGTTATTTGGTGCGATGCGGCACGCGACACCCACATTGCCGTCGGCGTGAGCAGCCAGCTGACGGCTGAAGCGGCCGGTTTGGTCGATAGTTCCGATCGGAAGATTGTCCGCTGATCGGAGGATTGTCCTCTAACGGCCACTGACCGTGTGCGCTGAGAGATTGTCCTCTGATTGGAGGATTGTCCTCTAACGGCCACTGACCGTGTGCGCTGAGAGATTGTCCTCTGATTGGGGGACTGTCCTCTAACGGCCACTGACCGTGTGCGCTGAGAGATTGTCCTCTGATCGGGGGACTGTCCTCTAACGGCCACTGACCGTGTGCGCTGAGAGATTGTCCTCTGATTGGGGGACTGTCCTCTAACGGCCACTGACCGTGTGCGCTGAGAGATTGTCCTCTGATCGGAGGACTGTCCTCTAACGGCCACTGACCGTGTGCGCTGCACGTGAATGTTTTTGAAATGTCCGGAATGATTTGTGAGAGAAATATTGCGCTGACTGATTTGTGATTTGTGATTATTTGTGCAGCTAGCTTTTCGTGTTGTGTGTCGGACCACGGGGCTCGTCTTGCAGGCGTGCCTAGCCTCACGCCGCAAGCAGACCCAGCATGGATAGGGCAGATCGCGCAGACGGAAACGAGGGGAAACGCGACCACCCAACGAGACGGGGCAAGCTTGGGAGAAACCCGAAATACATGAAGTGTTTTTAAAGTGGTTAAAGTTCACAAAGCGAGTGAACTACAACAATTCTAAAACGCCCGATGTATTGCACTGTGACATGCGTCAGCTCACAGCCAGCTCGGGGTCACGCCCGCGGACGGGCCGCGTGCCGGCGTGTAACGCGCGGCGCCCTGGCGGCCAGGTACCCGTACTTCCAGGTGGGCCAGAAGCTGGGCGGCGGCAGCAGCGCCGTGCTGCCGGGCGTGCCGTCCAAGCAGAGCCGCGGCTCGTTCGCGGAGCCGGCCGCCAACGCCCGTCGAGTCTCCAAGTTCGACGACGACCCTTTCAAGGACGGCAGAGTGTGCGTACCGGCGGAGGCTGGGTCGAGCGGAGGCGGGGTGGATGTGCGGTGTTGGGATGTGTGCTGCTGAACGGCGGGTGCAGCGTGTTCACTTGCCTTCCACCAGTCGTTGCTGAGCTTCGTGGCGCACGGACCAATTGGGCGCTGCGACCGCTGTTGTTCGTCAGTGTGACTATTAAGATGCAATTTTCCATGATTGATGAAGACCAGGGTGTCGCCGATGAGATGGTCTCGGATACGACAAAGGCTGGAAGGCTTTCTTCAGTTATGGACCATTGGCTTATCACATTGTCCACGTTGTGAAACCTGGCAGCTCATGCGTGCACAAGTTCTGAATACGTGAGACAGCGAAGCCAGGTTCCGCGTGGTCTCAAATGCCTCCACATCCTGCGTTCTACCTACTGCCCTCCGTGCTGTCCCCACCTGGCTTTGCGCCCGCGACGCACCTCCGCCCGTGTTCTGACCGACCTGGCCCATGCCCCGCCCCGACCTGACCCATGCCCCTCTCCGACCTAACCTGCGCCCCGCTCCGACCTGACCCGTGCCCCGCTTCGATCTGACCTGCGCCCCGGTCCGACCTGACCCGTGCCCCGCTCCGACCTGACCTGCGCCTCGCTCCGACCTGACCCGTGCCCCGCTCCGACCTGACCTGCGCCTCGCTCCCACAGCCCCAGCCACCTGCGGCTGAGTCAGATGCTGTCGCGGACGATGGCGGGCGCGGTGCCGGCGGCGGCGGCGGCGGCGGCCGGCGGCGAGGCGCTCGGCCGCACCAGCTCGCGTAACCTGACCGCCAAACAGGTGTACCTCAATAAGGCACGCTACGTGGCCGGACAGAACACCCGGAACGCCCAGTACGGTGAGTGGGCAGGCGCCCGACACGACGTGACGTGTGGACGCTTGAGACGTTGGCAGAAGACGTGACGTTGGAAGGGGCAAATGATGTCTGATGATTTGCGCCGGTCAGGGCGTCCGTGTGATTCTCTGCTCTGTTCTCTGCGAATTGTCGCGTTTCGGCTATCCGTCCAGTCGTCCCATCGGCGAGAAACCGCGTCTCTTGGAGGTGTCCGTGACAATATAGGATCATTCCGCAAGGTTAGAAGCCAATATTTCTGTGAGCACGCACGTTTCAAGAGAAGGCGATCGTCGTATTGTCCGTCTGTTGGCGTATGGTGGTGGCCACCTGGCCTCTGCGCCCGCCAAACAGCAGCGCCCGTGAAACTGGCGCGAGAAAGAGGGAGCGCGGGAGTCGTGTTCACTGGAGTCGCCGCGCGCCCGCAGGCAACGTGTCGGGTCAGGAGTCCGGTCTGGGCCTGGCGGCGCGCGGCTCCTACTACAACAGCAGCGTGTCCATGAAGGCGTCCGGCGCCCGCGCCAACGGCTCCACCGGCAGCCTGCACGGCAGAACCGACTGGGCGGCCAAGTAAGCCCAGCCGGCCGCGGCGCCCGGGGGTGGGGGCGGGCCGATCGGAGGGGGGGGGGGGGGGGGAAGGGCGAGCTGCGGCACGGCTACCAGGCGTGGCGGTGTGGACTGGACGCGTGGCGAGCTCGGTCAGGGAAGACGTGATGTCTTCCCTTAACGCTGTGGGATTGACACATTTGGCTTTGAATGGAAACAAATAAGTAGTATTCAAGGAAAGATATTGTAGCACCAAAGAAAGCTCAGAGCTATGAGCTAAGGGTCCAGCTACCACTGGGTCGCTTTGGAGCCGTACCTTGGACACCGTTGGACGCCCCTGAGGTAATCAGATCCAATGTTGAAAGGTCCATGGGTCCAACAGCTGCCATGTGCACCCTCAGACGTTTTGTTCAGGAGGCGCCGGGTCGTCGCCTTGACCTCTGCCACAAACACGCCAGCTTGGGACTTGTCCCCACTCTCCACACTGCAGCCGCTCGGCCATGTCTGAGTGACGATTGTGTGCACGGTGCTGCCGCCTGCCGGCCGAGTCGCATGTCGGCCCGGCTCACCCCACCCGCTCTCACGCGCCCGAGTGCTGTGCCGTGTGTCTGCCGGCCCGCCTGCCGGGCTGCCTCGCTGACACGCGTCCGAGTGCTGTGCCGTGTGTCTGCCGGCCCGCCTGCCGGGCTGCCCTGCTGACACGCGCCTCTCCCGCTCCAAGGTATAACATGTACAGGTCCCAGGTGGGCCAGGCGGGCAACACCTCCAAGGCGGCGCTCACCGGCCGCACCAACTGGGCCGCCAAGTGAGTGTCCCGGCCTGAGAACTGCCGACGCGCTGTTCCGAGCCGCGGCCTGCCGGTGGTGGTGGGAGTTCTGGCTGGGCACGGCGAGGTGTCGCGAAGGCTATGTGGTTCCTGAGCTGTTTGCGGAGGCGCCGTCCGCCGGTCCGTTTCTCCACCCCTACCGTGTTCCCATGCTTTGACTTTAGCCAGCGATGTTCTCAAAGGGCACTCACGTTTTTCACCACAACCACAAACTTAGCGTGTCGTTTCCGATTGAGCGTGAAACACCCTCGTCAATGCGCCTTTAAACATAAAAACCACAAACGAACAACACGGGAGGTCACCTTTAACATTCGAGTGCGCCCATCCCACTCAGTGAGCGAGGCGATGGGGGAGAAGTCGGCGACGCTTGCGTGTGGCGTGGCAGTAGGCTGCGGACGGCGTCGACCAATCACTGGCCGCCGCGGGTCCGTGTGTTGCCAATGAGCTGGGATGGCCGTTGCACGGTGTCCCGTCATCTGTCGAACAGATGCTACCTCGCCACTTTCTCTACGTCTCGTACGCATACCTAGATTGTAGCGGGTTTAGGTGTAGGTGTGCTGATGGATTTTGATATACACCCCCTGCTTTTGTTGCTTTTCCATGACCCTTACTGCCATTAATCAGCTGATACCGAGTACGTATGGCCGGTCTGTGCACTGTATGTGCATGTCGAAACCAGCGCCTAGGGGCTGCTCCTGCCAGCAGCGCGGATTCGGAAGGGCGCTGCGTCAGATTTGGCACTTGCGGCCGTTCCGACAGCGCCGGTGAATGTCTGCGTGGACCTAAGTGATCAGCAGTTGCCAGTTGCCTCAGATCAGCTGCCCCCTTTTGATGCATGCCTTGATGCCGGACATCGGATGGATGAAATCCTGGTTGTGCGATTTTATGTCATCCATGCATGCGGGTTTTCTTGTTATATCCTGCTGATCATATCATTTCTTCCGAGTGGTTTCAAGATAACCCCCCTCCCATTCCATGAAACCAGGCCACCCTCCAACGCATGGCCTGTGTTTCAGGTACCTGAAGTAGCGTCGGCATCTGGGGGGCAGCGGGCGCTCGTGCCTCTGCCGGCCCACGCCGCCGACCCCTGACCCGGTCAGAGCCCCGCCGCGCCACCAGAACGGCCCAGCACACGGTCGCTCGCGCCAGGAATCCCGGCGCGCCCACCGGGCAGCGGTCCTCCTCGCTGCCGGTCACTTGCCCAGCAAGGGACGTAGCACGGCCAGCTGGTGACGTCATACGGTCAGCAAGGGAGGCCAAACGTCTTGCAAGTGCCATCGCGTGGTAACCTGATGGCATGGCACGGTCTGGCGGTGACGCCGTAGGACCAGTTAGTGACGTCACGCAGCCAGTGATGGACGCCACGTGACCAGCGAGTGACGTCACGTGACCGGTGAGGGCCCGCGCCGTCCAGAGAGACCGTCCAGTGAGTGACGTCATACTGCGCCCGTTGTGCGCCGTTCGTGTTTGCATGTTTGCATCAGTTGCTCGTTTAGGATTGCGTGGGGGAGGGGGAGTGGAAGATTGTGCCGTAAATTTGGACATGAGAGCGTCAAGTGTGCCGCGGTAGAGTAAGGCACATCTGTGGGATTAAGGAAGGAGGCATATTGTCTTGTCGTTCAGGCGGAGCGACAGACATCGAGAGACAGAGATTCAGCCATTACCTACTTGTGACACTTACTGCCTCGTTAGGAACAGTTCTGTTGCGGATAAATGGGACCGGTGCAGCGCATTGTGCTGGAGTCCCGAGCTGCCACGTGCTTGCCATCCTGGCTTAGGAAGCCGGACCACCAGCCATCTGAGATCTCATGCGGAGGGGGTAATTGTCATTGTAAATTCCATCGCGGATGTGTACGGTGGTGAACAAATTGTAATAAAGTTGTACTTGTCATTGTTGATATTTACGCCGAAGCCATCGCCATGATGTGCTGAAAGAGTTTTACTCAGTTGGCCGCAAAGGCGGCTGCAGTTCATCAACACTAGTTAGAAGAGCAGTGTTGTTATCCTCTTTATGCTGGACTCAACAGCGAAGCAGGTGCGTGACGGCCTTTTGTGTAACGGTATGGCCACAGTCTCGTGTAACGACGACCGTGTGTGCTCATGTGTAGTGCCCCAGGTGAAATGTGTCCGCACAGTTTTTCATATTATTGATAATCCTACGGAAAAGATGCCAACATTTTAAGGTAACGTTAAACGATACACCGGTTATTACGAAAACGGGCGGCGGAACGTCTCAGAAAGTGGGGTGTCAATACCTACTTTGTAGTCAGTTATTTGCTTCCTTTTCCATAGGATTAATGCTTCTTGTAATACTCATATACCGCACTTCTCGGAAGATGTGAGTGTCATGGCTCACATGGGAACCCCATTCCTACGCCTATGATTACACGCGCACAGGTATCATTCATATACTGCTACTACAAACAGTCACAGGCTAGAAACCAGCCAGCGTCCCCTTGAATGAAACATCCTTTGGAGGAGGCGCCAGTGCCTTGAAGATGCGCAGCGACAACATCGGTGCGCACGGCGCCGCGTCATTAGCCGCCGTGCCACTGTTTTCCTCAGCGGCACTGATCACCTGGAACGGTCCTCGGCGTCGGCCTCAGAAATACAGACACCAGGTGTTAGGTGTGGGGTGAGTCTGCTGTCCTT